GTATACTAGAAAAGATCAGGCTTAGTAAGCAGCTTGATGAGATACCACATCTCTTCAAGCAGTTTGAGTGTGTATCACTGATACACGCTGATGATTAGTAATGAGCTACAAAATGAGTAAACCTTAAGAGCAAGTGGTGCTGGGGATCTGTTAGGGATCTATATGTATGATGCAGTGATTTGCCTCCAGTTTGCTGCACGCTCTGCCTTGATGCTGTCGATGCGGTAATTCCACGTGGAATGTTACGAAGTCCTGCTATTGAAATAGCTGTTCAGCCACTGAAAGCAAGAATTACTAGTCAGCCTGTATGTATAGGCAGAGGCTCTCAAGGTAGTGAGTGATCTGATGTATTATGGAAGCCAGATGGATAATAATAATAGGACTTTAAGACTGAAATTATTTAACCTAAAATGCTACTCTGAATTTCAAACATCCAAAAACTTGATATTAACAAGTTGCTGTGACAAGCCTGAGCATTTACTGTTTTGTTGGTAGCAGAGAGCAGGGACTGCAAGCAGTTGCCACACAACACTGTAAAAGCAGAAGGAACTTAATGGTATAGTAGTTGTCACCACCCATACCTTGGAGAAATGCAGAGATCTTTCAGATGGTGACTATGTAATTCCTTCCACATACCCCAGAGGGAAGGAAGTTCCTTTCTGCAGTCCTACATACTATAAGTTTTTCCACCCTTTCCCCCAGGTGCATGAGATCATGAGTCTTGTAAACTGGACATAGAGGGAGATGTCCCCATAACCTAAAGCTGAGTAGTCACTTAGTGAAAATTCAGATTCTGCTCTACACTCGGTGCTTGTTGGCAGGTATTTAACCTCACTCTCACCATCTCCAGATCCCCAAGGTGGGAGGAGGGATGAACAGGAAGTCCATCCTCTGCTGCATTTTTTTTCCCATTATCTGTCCTCTGTGGCCACCACTCCCCTTTCTCTGCTTTCTACCTTTCTGACCTGATCTTTGTGAGTTTGCTAGTTATATTCCCCAGAGAGCCAGGCTGGTTTCTCTGCCTTTCCAAAAATGAATTCTTTGTGCTGTTGTGGAAACAGAAGAACAGAGCTGAATTTGTGACGTATGTTTTGTGTTAGAAGTGAAACATAGGAAGGAAATACTAAATTTGAATTATGAGTTATAATTTATCTTTCAGAAAGTACACTGGATACAAGTTAACGCGTTAAGAAAAAAAAAACAACAGAGTTTGTAAGGGAAATGTCAAGAGGCCTTGATAGTCAGGTGCTATTGCTAAGGCTGCCTCCTCTTTCTTACTGTAAGGATTGGTTTTAAGTTGTTTACAGTGCTGACAAATTTTCTTTCCATTCCTGATTTCTCACCTTACTTGTTGTTTGAGTGTTAGACTATGTCAGAGCTGTTCTCAGGAAGGTAGGGAACAATCTACTGTGCTTCCAAGGAATATCCAGTTTCTCTACCCTTTAGTCAGGAACTTGACATTTCTGAGAATGATGGCTTTTATGGTAAGGAAACACCTTCCCTTTAGTTAAACTGCTAAATCCATGGTCACAGATCGTCAAGTCTGTTATCATAAAGTGTCCTCTGTTGAGCTGGCCTGGGGATTTCACTGCAGTTGCAGCAGGAGCTGCTCTGGAGCCAGGTCAGCTAACCAGAGCTGGGAGCCTGTCTGGGCCATGAGGGCATTCTGCTGATGAGCTGGTGTGGCCAGCAAGCTTCTGAGACTTGCTGAGGTATTCCTGGTACAAGACAGCAAGGAATAAGAACAGCTGAAGCAATGAGTGGGAAGAAGACAAATGTGGGTGTTGGTGATAAGCGTGCTGAAGGTTGATGCAGACACATGGAAAGACTTGAGCTAAGTTGATACGAGTACGGCACGGCTGGAGTAAGGCCTGAGGTAAGGCTCCATGACCAGGAGCAGGCTATGTTTATCAGAGCATTCTTCTGCTGAAGCACAGGTGCAGAAGAGGAGCCAAAATGCTTCATTCTCAAGCAAACTGGGGGGGACAAATCAGGAGATGAATATTTGGTTTGAATGTAATAAATACGGTACAGTGGGTTGAGTCACTCTCAGGTTGATGAGGAAGCAATGAAAAATTGAAAACATGCTTGTTAGCAAAGCATCATTCATCCTATGCACTAAAGAGGGCTGGCAAGGATGGGGGGTCTTGAAATTGTCCTGTATGCAGATACAAGATGTATGTAAGGGTGGGTGGTAGGAAAGAGAGGGAAGTTGAGCAAGGCTGGACTGGCAAGCAGACCTGTTTCCAGTGTTTACTTGTTCTTGTATACGTGACTTTGTATGTTGATAATGTTCTCAGCTTTGTTGAACACAATGCCTCGGTTTGGTTTGTTGCTTCCTGCTTACCACTTGCTGGAGCTGGATTGTAGGTTCAATAGCCAACCCTTTGCAGTGAGGCACTGTCATCAGGGTAACAAAGCTTTTCCCACAGTGACTGTTTAAAGCTCCTTTCCTCAAGAGCATCTGAATTAATAATCATTCACTTAAGAAGAGTTCAGTGTGCAAAAGGGACTGTTACCTTTCTGTTTATTTCTGGTAACCAGTTGAAGTTCTCCTTTACCTTTTTCTTTTCCCCATGCTCTCCTCTCTCTTATCTTCTGTATATATTGGGTGGGTCAAATCTTGATTTAGGAGTTGACAGATGATGTATTTTTGAGTGACATAACAAAACTCAGTGAAAGATTCAGAACAGAGCAATTATATTTTTTAAGCAACCTGATAAGTGTGGTAATAGCTTGAAGTCAGATGCTCAGGACTTTGCCATTGGATCTCTTCCAGACAGCAGCTGGAATGCTAGCTCTTATTTCTTAGCCTGGAAGGGAGTCTTGTTCTAAATCAAAGAAAGCTGACTAAGGACACCTTTGGGGCTCTCTTGGTGATGTTCTCCTTTGTCAGCTCTTCCCTTTTAGTACAACTTGTCTTTGGTATTAGACTACCTAATGTCTGATGTTGAGGCAGGTGATGTACACTCATCTGTGTGGAGTTCTCATCTGGACCTTCTCCAGGTTCCCAGCTGAATTTGTCCTTCGCTGTGCCCTGAAAATGTCTGATGTTCTTTCAGAGGCTTTAATGTTGTTCCTGTTGTACACAATTGTTGGTAGGTTCTGGAAATATGATGTAGATGTTGCACTTGGATATTCTGTGTGATCTGAAGCTCTGCTTGGCACTGAGGAAGTATGCAGAAATTTCTGGACTTCTGAGGACTTCTACTGATTATTGAAAATAACTCTTCCAGAGTAAAAAAAAACATCAAAACCCCCATGAACTGTTATGGGAATAGTTGTAGCCACTTTTGGACTCCATCCAGAGTTGGGTTGTGGGACCCAATGTGTACATTATGCCAACTGGTTACTGTGGGATGTGGTTACTGTCAACGTTTTATTTTGCTCAGTGACTAAACATTAAAATGGTGGGAAGTTTAAATGGAATACAAGAAGATGTTAAAAACTAGTCTAGATTTATTTCCTCTTGCCCTTCAAATAAAGAAAAAGAAGGAAGAAGGTGAACTTTACTAAATCATGCAAATATACTATGGTTGTAAGCATATTCCTAATATAAAGTCTCATAAGAGTTAAGTAGCATGCACTGAATGTGAGCTGTTGGAGGTAGTATCTAAAACTTTCCTGTGATAAAATTACTTAGCTGCTTATGAAAGAAAGCAAGTGCTGGTGTTTCTTTGCACTTTTTCTGATTGTGTTTCCCCCTAAATATTTAGTCTGTGAATTAGAGAAATGTCCGGCTCACAAAGGAGAGGGAATAGACTGCATGTCATGTTTAAATTTGTCATTTTGAAGATTAGTTTAAGGTGCTGCATCTAGTTACTTTAATTTACCTTTTCCTTGGAATCCATTTATTATTATGCTATCAAAATGATCCTATATTTTCATCTGAATCAGCCATGCAGTTGAGCAATTCAGGGATCCTCATGTTCTGTTGTGTTGATATTTTTTTATTTTCTTATTTTTTAAGGTATGATGATAAATCAATACTTACTATTTCCCAGCACTTCACACAGCACAGGCAGCAGGCCTTGCAGTGAAATTAATATCTGGAATTACAGTCCAGCTTAGTGATTAAAAATAACCAAATATACAAGAAAATAACAAATTCGAGTCTGTCTGCCCTGTGTTTGCCTGTCATCTTCATTTTGATTGCGATTGGCCAGCAAAGTCTGCTGCTGGCATTACACAATTGGCTTAGATGGGAAATTACAAAACAGAAGCAGATTGCTTTATTTGTACTCTGTAGCACATGCAGCTGAGCACAGGCGAACAAGAAGGGTCACCCGTACGCAAGGATTTAAGTGCTCTTTTTCACAGATGTTTCCATTTCAGGGAAGTGCTGCGTATCTCATTTTTCAGATCTATGACTTGGAGTTTTTAAACGCCATAGGGGTTTCTTGCTTTGGTGAATGTCAGAATGTACCTGGGAGCAAATTTGTAACCTGGAAGCATTTGAGAATTTCAGATGCACGGAATAATGTCGTGGAAGGATCAGAAAGACCAGCGTTTTTAAGGTGTTTTAAGTATTAGCAAGGAGGAAGGCAATACAAACAGAAGGTTGAAAGCAGATGCAAAAGGAAAATGACTTTGTTTTCATCCTGGAATTATGTTGTTGGAAACAGCATAAATGAGGGATTATGTCGGCACCAAAACAATGGAGAATCAAAGAGTGTTATTTTCCTCTGAAATAATCTCTGTGCAAGACATGTCAGAATTACCTTCCATTGAAAAGCAATTAATGATTTTGAATATGGTCTGAAGCTCTATGGGACATATTTGGGACTGCTGCATCTTTCCAACGGTGTGTAATGCATCTTCGTCTACAACACCTTAAAGAAAAAAAGAGTCAAGCTGCCATTTGTTTGCATCTTTTTGTTGTTGGTTTGTGCTTTGTTTTTTAGTTTGTTTAACTAGTTTTTACCTCTGCTTTTTTGAGAAGAAGTTCCACCTGTGTTTTTAACTGAACTTTCTCCTCCTTCTCCTTCCTCCAAACTCAGTTTACGAGATGCTGGAATCGGGTTTATTCTTGTCATAGACCGCAGACAGGACAAATGGACTTCTGTGAAAGCTTCCATACTGCGGATAGCAGTGAGTACTGTTTTACATTAACTCCTTAAAAAGATTTCCCACGTTGAACCTTTCTCTTATAAACAGAAAAGTTGCAGGAGCTTTTTCTTCAACAGAATGTTAACTAACGTATGACACACAAAATATGTAGCTCTTGTGTCCCAGCTGACTGGAGCTGAGCATCATGTGCCCTTGATGTGCTTTTAATGCAGTTTGCAGCTCATAATATCAGCCTGAGAGGGCACTTGGGGAGCACGATCTTGTGGTGCGCATGCAAATGTGCACAATGTGAATTTCCCTAGGTGGGAGCAGCCCTTGCATGGGCAGCCCATGCATCTTGCTGAGCTGTGGATCTACTTTGCACTAGCTGAGCATTAGTGTTCTGAATTTGTTTACCTCTTGTCAAAAGAATGCAGGTTTAAAAGCTGGTCATGTGGTGTTTGAATAAAAACAAGAAATGCCTTTAATCTGAAAAATCTTAACCAGCAAATACACACTGTAAATTTTGGTCTCCGTTTTAATAATGATTTTTCAAATAAGAGAAGTGACATTTAGAGGACTTCTTTTTACACGAGTAGGAAAGGACAGATTCATAAATATCGTGCTCAATTCCTTGTCATACTATGTATTGTATTTATTTTTAAATTTTCATGTTGTCCTGGCTTGAATTGCCTTTACAGTCTTTCCAGTAATTGCTGAAAAACACAGCTATAAGAATCTTATATTTAATTTCTTTATTTTCTTTAATTTCTGAAAATTTTAGTTCCATTATTAAGTCCAGTCAAACCTGTAAGCATGTAAAAGTCGCCTTTATGTGGCCCTATTTTGATCAAATGTTTGTTTGTTGCTAGTTACAAGGTATTTATGTAACAGTAATAAAATACTCATGCTGTATAGCTTTTTGTGACTGAAAACATAAGAAATAATATGCTGTCCCACCCTGTTCCCTAGTTTGTTTCACCTAGCAAGAAGACAGTGATTACACTTCACTGACACAGATCAGGTGCACCAAAACAAATTATTAAATATATTCTGAGCAAGCTGTTGCATATATGATCTATAACCACAGGTATTCTAAACAAACAGTGTATCAGACTATGACTAATCAGTACTTTGGGGGGGAGGTAAATTAGGGTAAGTTAAGGGTAAATTAGATTGGGTATGGTTATACAAACTCCAGGGAAGGTAAATTAGGGTAGGAAAGATTATGCAACCTGTCTTGTCAGTGCATCCATTGCAAACTGAGGTCTGAAGTGTAGGTGGAGTTGGGGGCACATGTGCTAGAGAGATCTCAGGCCAGCTGAGGGGAGCACCAATGTCCTCCAGCAACCTGATTTTATACCCTTTTTAAATGTGGTTTGCCTTGATAAACAAGGGAGAGTGAACTGTTACAAGGTATGCAGACTAAAATATAAGCAGGGGTATGAGAAACACTTACAGAAAAGCAGAGGTACTTCCATTTGTTCCTTACAACCTCACTTTAGCTCTCAAAAACATGAGGGATTGTTCCTAGGTTAGTTATCACATGGCTTTATGGTCTCCATATTTTTGCCAAAGGCAGCGCTCTTTTCTTTGACAACTTCCAGTTCAGGCCCTTGACATGAGTACTAGGCTGTATGTTGTTAGGCGTAGATAAGGGAAATAGAGGCAGTTGGAGGCGAGTGGAGTGACAGAAGCATAGCTACAGCCTTATCTGACCTGCACAGCTAGGGGCAGTTCTCATCTTGTTCTCTGGTCTTGCACGACCTCTCCCCTTCTTCAGCAGGCTATGCTTGGGCCATACTCCACATATGCCTGCAACACAATTTTTTCTAAAATAAATCTGTTTAGGGATGGTAAACTATTAATAACACACAGAAATACTAGCAAAAATATTTTTTCCACTCTGCATTTTTGAGATGCATTACTGAACAGATTCCAGTAGGGAAAGCCAGGAACAGCATAATTTGTGGGTGATTAAAGAGAGAAAAAGGGTTGAATCTCTGAAGCTTGTGAATCACTTTCCAAACTCAGTGTTGTACTTTCTGTTCAACATTAGCTAAGTATTTCACAGATGGCAGTACTTTTATTTATGTGATTAAGGCATGTCGGAGTAGGCAACTGCAGACATGTCACATATAGTCATAATATTAACACTTATGGTAACTTGCCTCCAATGTGCACAGTTTTCCCTAGAAATGCAATTTTCAAAACTTGAGCATCTATTTCCTGTGATACCAGATGTGTAAGTGCAGTGATTGTGTGGGTTGTTTCCTTCCTGGGCATGGAGAATCACAGAGTTGTTAAAATTAGGTGATCTCAGAGGTCTTTTCTAGTTCAACCATCAAGCCATCACCACCATGCCCAGTAACCACATCCCTCAGTGCCACATCTACATGGTTCTTGAACACCTCCAGGTATGGTGATTCCGCTACTTCACTGAGCAGCCTATGCCAGTGCTTGGAGATGGGTCTTAAGGTCGTAGTGTTGTTGATAGCAGCTCATTTTTGTTTTTTCTTCTTCTTTGAGCTTGAGAGTTCCGGTTGTTAGCTCATTTGTCCTAGGTCATGCAATATCTACCCTGCTATCTTATATACCTGCTATCTTATAGAGGTTGCCCATTATCACTGCAAGTGTGTTGACTCATGGTACCCTGTTCATAGTTCCAGTGTGCTTTCTTAAAACAGTAACCTATGGCATTACATTCTTTGCATCTTTGTCCTACCATCATTCTCCTTCATTTGAGGGGAAAAGTTGAAGTGTGAGTTCAGACTTTTAGGCAAACAAAATCTGCACTCAGCTTCATGAAAAGCTTCGCTCACGGTTGTCCATCAGCCTCATATTGAAAGTCCAAAGGAAATAAACTTTCTTATTCCTTAGGGAATAACATATCTGCGGGCAGCTGCTTGAGGAATCAGTTGGTATGGAGGTCACTCAGGTAGTGAGGAAGTTTTATCCAGTTATGAAAGTTTGCAGCCCTGTTTAAATGGACAAGACTTGAGTTTTATCCAACCCTCTTTGGAAGTTTGTATTATGATTTGTTATCTTCAACTTAAGATGCACTGTTTACAGGTTTTGTGCCTTCTGTTTTGGGCTGCATTGTTTAGAGTGTTTTTCTTAGCTGTTCATAAATCAAAGCACAGTGCTTACTGTAAAAGAGGCCTGGTCCATTAACTGCTTTGAAGGTTAGGGCCAAGACCTTAAGCTGGCAGGAGGAGACCAGAAGCCAAAGGAGAGGCTAGAGTGCTAATACCATCCTAAACCTTGCAGGAGCCAGGCAGTCCCATTTTTCTGCCATCTGGAGTTTTATCGTTGGTTTGACATCCAAGGTGAGAAACAGTGAATCACAGTAATCCAACCTTGAGTTCTTTGGCCTTGGTTGTAGAGAGAGATTGAATTTCCTAGCGACTTGATGGTGGAGGAAAGATAGATTTTGTAACCAATGCTCTGTGGCCATGAAAGATGCTATTTTTGTGTTATGGACAGAAGTTCCTGCTAGCCCAGTTTTATAGCTAGCTCTTTGCATTTTGTGCTGTAAAAGATAATGACGCTTAGTGGTTTATATGGATTAAGCTTGAAAAAAATGTTCTCCTTTCAGCCCCCAGTTATGTTTCTTATTAAAGGCATTTTTTGCTTAGGTTCAAAACCACACCGAAATCTTGACGATACGACAGTACTTGTGTGAATTTTGTAGCTGTTGTTTTTGAATGATTCTAGTAAATAATAAAAAGGTTATTTTGAGATGTACATTTTTTTGCCTTTATTGCTTCAAAAGTTTTGAGAAAATTATATGTACAAGCACTTTCGCAATTTTCCTAGTATAGTCAGCCATTTTTTCTTGTGTATTACATGAGGGTTTTTTTAATTTAAAGAACAAAAAGGAGAATCACTTAAATTCTGAATGCTGGGTCATAATATCACAAGTATCAGTCACAGACCTAAACAAACTAGCTCGATGTTTTTAAGACTAGAGTTTAAATTGGTCCATTTATGAATTGTTTTAATTCAAGATTCTTCCTTGACAAGAAATCTGTGTAAGAGCCTTCATTCTAGGCAGGAATAAACTGTCTTAAATAATAATTTTAAAAAATAACAATAAACCAGCCCCAAATTGTGCTTATTAGCCCCCTAATATGCAGAGGTATTTTGAAAAGAAGTGTCCTGCAGCTCGCAGCATCCTAGTAAGTGAAGGAGGAAAAACAACACCACAAGATTTGGTAATGTGGTTATACTGAGGCTCTTTATAAAATGAGAAACGGTGTTGTTACAGTTATTTAAGACAGAATAACTGAAACTGAGTCTGGCATTAGCTCTTTGGCTCACATGATTTCTGAAATCTGACTGATTATGCAGGGAAGGTAAGAGAAAGGGGCCTGGGTTACCTGTTTATCACAGCACCTTTCCATTGCTATATGAAAGTATAAAACACTTGTGTATACTAAGGCAGCTGTGTGAATTGCTCTGTGGAATTGAACAGCAACTTTAACTGCACCTCTGTCTATAAGGTGTGTGTACCTATCTGTGTAATTCCTGTGTATATTAAATAAGCCCAGGGCACCACAGGTGGAGGCCTGAGATGTGAAATCACAAAGGTGGTGTTTGTTCTAAGAGCACACTTTCTGGTCTTTGCTGCTGAAAGCCATAGTGACCAACACCTGCTGATAGTCCCAGGGCACTGCTCTGCTCCTGCCCTGCCTCTCCTAAGGAAGAGTTTGGCAACACCGCATCCTGTCTCAATGACTGCCTGCCCCTGTTTTGATGACTCTTGTAATATAGGCTACTCAATTATATTATTCCTCCTTTGAAAATGCCATCTGACCATCCAGTGGTCTAACAGGAGTAGGCAGGATTGCTGCTTGATCTGACTGGCACAAGTAGGATGACAGAATGACTTCAGCTCCCTATTGGGAGTGCCTGTATTAGCAGCTTCTTAACCACAGGTTCAGTATTGGTGCTACAGGCAGCCTCTGTGTCATTAATATCCTGTCAAGGAAGGTGGTAATTAAGACTGTATATGTTACTAAATTTTACTAATAAGGCAGCTCCTATTTTGCTCAGCCAGTGAAGGTTTTTCCCATATTGCAGGTTAGGAGTAGTCATAGGGTAGCAAGCATCTCCTCTACTGGAAGGGTTTTGTTTAAGGATGGTGTGCTGTTTATAAATTTCTGGTTCAGTTAGTTTTATTTCAAAGCTGATGACCCCGTGCTCACCTGAATGTTTGGAATAAGCACTTGCCTGACTGGATGTGGAAGTCATGAAGAGAGATGAGCAGACAGAAAAACTAATCCTGTGAGTGTTGTGAAGCACCAAACAAGTGCCTGTGCTGATGCAAGTGAAATGAAGCAATATATGAACTAGAGTAGAGCAGGGACTACCCTGACCTAAGTAGAGGATATCAGAAATGTGTGAGTGCTGTGTAGAGGTTTAGTTTTTCTTTCTTTCACTGATATTTTTTGCGTGGGCATTAAATTAAAGTACAATAGTTGAGACAAGATACTGGTGGAGCAGTTTAAGAGTTTAATAACCTAGTAAAGAAATATTCTTTTGGATTAAAAGAGGGAAAAAAAAACAATTTTCAAGTGCATAGGCTCTTTTTGGTGTCACAATGTTCAGTGGCTTCACTAAAAATAAGCTTTGATGGCACTTTGCTTTATGACACTACTAAACACACATGAGCATCTATTGCCATGTATAATGCCTGGCACAGCCGTATTGAGAAGTCATTGTTCACTATCCTAGCATAGGATAAAGTGGCTTCAAACAAGCATTCTGCTGGACTGGAATGGTGATTTTTGCTCTCTGCTGTTTGGGCTGAAGTTGGCTGGTTGATGAAGTTGAAAGGATGCATCTGAGGAGTGTCTCTTGCATCATATCATTGTCTCTGCAAGTCACCAGAGCTTTAGGGGGAAAAATAAAAGCAGTTAGGAAAGCAGTAATATTTAGGCAGTGAAGATACAAATTCAGTTAAATGTTACTGGTCCAGCATTGTTACTCTGTCAATCAGTTCTTTCTTTGTTGTTTCACTGAAGTTGGTTTGTGAATCTGACTCCTGCCCATGCTCAGCAAAATTGTTAACATTTTAAGAGTGCTCTGTGTTTTGAGGGGAAAAAAGAAACAAGCAACCCAGTTGGAAGCACAGGAGACAGACTAGCGGAGGTAAGAACAACATTGTAGACAAAGTTAGAATAACCAAGAATTTCGGATGAAAGATAGAGGAAACTCTGCAACTTTTGAACAGAAATTATTCTACACAGTGCACAACTGTAGTGATTAGAGCAGCATAGTTTCTGGGTAGACACAGTGAAGTGGAGAGCAGTTGTAATCTGTATTCTTTACCTGCTTAGCTGAGCAGGACAGCCTGCTCGATTTAGCTGTGTGATTGAACACATCTTATAAAAGGTAATGCACAGTCTGGAAAAATTTACTCTTGCTTTGAATCTGTCAACTACCATTTGCTCCAGTACCAGCTGAAATATTTTCTCTAAAATCATGACATCAAAATCTGAACTACAGTCGCAAAGTGTAAAACTGAGAATTTAAAGATAGAATAAAGAAATTTGTTGCTTGCCCATATATAACTAAAAATTTATTTTTGCTGTTCAGTATCTTTAGTGCTTCATAATTTCTTTGTTTTCTATCTTTCTACTGAACTCAAAGAAAACCAAACTAGTGCTTCCTTATGCTCTGTGCAAAGCTAAATGGGTAGCCAACAGACATGCCAAAGGCACTGCATCTGGATTTCATGTAGGGATGCGTATCTGACATGAACACGTTTTTCAGAATGTGTTATTTCTTCTTGGAAATTCTTATTCTGATGTTGGTATTGCCAGTGAATAAATTTCTTCTGAGGGGGGTGAATTGGAGGTGAAAATTAACAGGTCAGTAGGAGTCTGCACACTGCCATTACAGGCACAAAATAAATTGATGTGAGTTTCAATTAATAGACTATGCAATTATCATTGTACAAATATTATTCAGGCATTTAATTAAAAAAAAAAATTGTCTGTTCTTGCAAGTGTTTCTTAGTGTGAGTTAAATCACTCTCTTAAATTTGAAGTTGCCTTTGTTACAATGACTTTGAAAAATGGTCTTATTTTTATTTTTTTCATCTGATTTTAGGCAGGAATCTTGTAGTTAAAGTCTGTCCTCTGTTTGATAACTGTGGGTTAGTAAGCCTGCAGGGTGTGCTACTTTCAATATGCACAGAAAGATTATTTATGGTGCAGTGATGAAGAACTTGTGTGAGCAATCAGAATTGCTGGGATTCTGTGGCCAGCCCTCTAAGAGACTCCACTGGGGCTGAATCACTGGGCTTCCTAGAAAATCTGGACGTCGTTAGAGTGGAGGCAGATTGTAAAGTTTAAGCCTGTATGATTTCTCAGTCAATTTGAGTTCTTGGAGTATGTGGGGAACCACAGTGCATCCATGAAATCTTCAATAAAAGTTTTTCACTACTTTTCCTTGTAAAAGTTTGTCGTGGCTGCTGCTAAATGCTTGGAATACCCTGGAACCTTAAAAATGACCATTGAACCCATCTGCAGCCTCCCAGATACTGACAGCTTCATAGGCATAGAAAGAGAACATAGAACAACAGCTCGTTCAGTCATTTGGTTGGTCCTTTTTTTTTTTTTGTCTTTTTTTAACCTTGGTTTGCTTAGAGGTATGCCACAATTTCCAACAATGTAATTAAAAAAATATATATATATTGCGTACTTAATCGTTATAATGAACTTCTCTTTGGAGAGCTTTAGTGCCTCCCTCCAGTGGAAATACTGAATGTGAGAGAAGATTTGTGTCATTTCAAGAATGGCTAAATGCTAAGTACGTGAACTTCTGGCACAGCAGAGGGTTTGTTTGTTTGCTTATCTTTAATTTAGTGCAACAAGCCTGCTTTCCTTCTCTTTTCTGTTTTCCCCATGCCACTTTTAAAACTGGGAGAATCTCTGTGAGACTACAGATTGAAAGATGATGAGAAAAAGCACAGCTGAGGACATATTTTGGTTTATTTTTGTCTGCAAAATTCATGCTTACCTCTTCTAAGCTACTGTCTGAGAAATTCGGTCTTGGTGATGATAGTTTGTGTAGGCAACTGGCAAGGTAGTACACATAAGCAAGAAATTGAGTTGTTATGTATTCAGATAATAGCAGAGGTTTCTCTTGGCACCTTCTATTAGAGAAAAGCTAAGGTAACCATTGGAAATATTGTTGAAAAATACTAAGCTATCTTTGTCTGTTCATTAGTCTCCTTGGCTATGATGTCATCTTAACTGAAGATAAGAGCATTATGAGCCAGCCCTGAAAAATTAGATTCCAGGAGAATAGATTCCTGTTCCCAAGATGCATAAAGGTCTCTTTGAATGGAGCTCTCTGTGAATCCTTGTTAGGTTTATAATTGGTCACCCTGTTATGGAGAACTTTGATACAGTTGGTTTGTGGTTTAACAGAGGCTTCTCCTTCGAAGCACCAGAAAATAACAGATTAAACTTGTTTTGCAGGCATCTTTCCCAGGGAACTTGCAACTCGTCCTCGTTCTGCGCCCAACGGGGCTTTTTCATCGAGCTCTCTCAGACATTGCTTTCAAGTTCAACAAAGATGAGTTTAAAATGAAAGTACCTGTAAGTAATATTCTGTTTCCACTTTGTTATCGGGGATCTGTTGAAGTACTTAGTCTAGCTAGCGATGTTTGTATTTTAAAATAAGCTTTGAAACTGTGCAAGCTGAAGATATTCAAATAAATGCAAATAGATGGTGATATGGGTTATTTTTATGTCTGTCAGATGTAAATTGCCAGGATTGGAGCTAGTTAATATATGTTCCCTACAGTCTTTATTTATTTCTTAGAACCAGTCCATACATCCTCAATCCATGCAGATCTACTGTTCTCTCCCACAGACAAAGGAGACCAAAAATGAATAAAAAATGAATGAGATGTTGCTCTTAAAAAAAAATAAAAATAAAAATGCCCATGTATATTTTATCAAGATTTAAAAATGAGTGAAATCTGATGAACTCACTTATGTTGTATGATTCAGAAGCTCTTTTAAATGCATGCTTGGAGCCCGGTGCTCATGCTTATTTGCAGTTATTTAAGTTTATATCATCAAGTGCTAAGCTTTTTTGTTTGTTTTCGCATTGTTTCTTTTTGGAAATAGTTCTATCACTTGCTTCTATATGAAAATGAAGCTTCTCTAATAGAAGCTGAAAGAGATGGATTAGAATCCTTAATAAGGGGCTTCTCACCACCGATCATGTTCCCTTTTTCTTTACTTCTGCAGATCATAATGCTGGGCTCAGTATCAGAACTGCAGGGTTACATTGATAAAACACAATTAACAGAAGATCTTGGTGGCACCCTGGATTACTGCCATAACAGATGGCTATCCCGTCGCACTGTAAGTCTTGGTGGTTGTTTTAATTTTTCAGTTTCATGAGCTCTTCTGTTTTATACCCTGTCATTATAAAACGTATTCCAAGTGATGCAAGTTGACTTGGTCTGAGTGAGAAGATGTTCCCAATGGTACTTAGTCATCTTAGTGAAATAATATGAGTAATAACTTGGGAGTGGTTTTCTGAATGCTTGGAGCGAAGGAACTACAGTGTGTTGTTGTGTTGGGGTATGTTGTTTTTGCTACAAGAAAGAAAAAGCTCAAGTTGTAAAATAGCTCCAGATTTTAAAAATATGAGGAAGATATACCTGATACAAGCCTAGGAAAAACATACAATTAAGGAATTGATGGTGATGGTATCTGTTGCTTACAAAACTATACTTTGACCATTTTTTAATCATGTAATTCATCTGTTCGAGTTTGTTTTGTCAGTTATATTTTGTGTGTATGTGTCTGTTTGTACATATGCATATGATGAGCATGAAACATCTTTAATGGTTTTTATTCCAAAAGGCTATAGAAGGTTTTGCCCAAAAGGTTAAGCAAACAGCTCAGATTCTTCAGTCCTTTGGGACTGAACTGGCTGAAACAGAACTACCAAATGATGTGCAGTCAACCAGCTCCCTTCTTGCAACACATACGGAAAAGAAGGACAAAATGAAGGTATGTACATTTTGTAAATACTGTCTTCTAGTTTGAGTGTTTGTAATTTATAGCTAACATTGCTAATAAAAAGCCTGGAGGGTATTTGGTTAATAGATGATGAAATTAATAGATGATAATGAAATTATTGCATTGAAACTTCACTGAAACTGTTTTTCTTGGTTTGAAGTTCAGAATCCTCTCACTGTTTTCAATAAGGACATTGTTAGAGCTAAGTGCACTTATGTACAAACACACCATGTCTTGCGTGGAAACAAATACTCTTATATGAAGTTTAATTTGTAGTTTTGTTTATAGTAATAAACTTTATTGTATTGGCATGCACAGAAAAAGGTACGACCTCTTGAAGAATGGACAAATGTTCTTTCAAATCAGCTTAAATGAATAATGTTTAGGGATTTCAAAACAATACATTTTAAGTTTGTGAGATAATCTTCTAGCACGTCTCTGTGCTACAATTATCTATCACAAAAGTTCAGCCCAATGTAACAGGGACTTAAGACCCATAAACTGACATAGCATCTAGCATCATTATTGTCAACACTGCTTTTAATCAAGCTGTGCATGTTTTATTGCTGTTATAAGTAAAGTATTTTTTCTAGTTTGATGCCTAGAGGAGTCTATTTAAACAAAATAACAAAAATCCAGTAATTACAGAATTGTTCTGTGTGGGGTTTTTTGTTTGTTTGTTTATTGTTTTTGTTCTTGTTTTGTTTTATAGGAAGATATAAGGTTAGCAGTAGAACAGGGAGACGATATCCTTGGAAGTATTACAAAGCCAGTTACTGAGAACCCTGAATACAAACTGAATCAAGACCAACTAGACAATCAAACTACAGTAGAAAGGTGAGAGGAGTGAAATACTTAACAGGCTGCTTCTCTGTGTTTTTAACCCCTGCCTGGCCCTGTTATTTAATTCTATATGTATGCTTAGCAAGTAAGCAAATGATGCAGTGTGAATAGAGAAAAGGTACTTTCAGAAATGACTCTGCTGTTATCAGATCTGCCTTAAGCAAAGTAATCCTCTGATGTCCACTACTGGATCATATGAATATAAGGAAACCTGCCTGAAAAGACTCCCAACACTGCTAATGTCAGTGTAACTAGAAACCTTTAAAGGGCTTTTAAGGACTACTCTGTTCTTGGAGTGTCATCTATGCACAAACTTCCTATATGCTTCCTCTGGGCAAGTAATTAGTTTTATTTTTCTTTGCTTCTCCCACCCACCCCCTTAAATTTTTGCCAATTTTGAAGACATTATATCATCATAGCACAGATGTAAATTTGAACAAAGCTATAAAAGCATAGCTCATTTCCCCAAGGCAGTTATCTGCATTCTTTTTTTGTCTGTCATTCCATGTTTCTGTTACTCTTGGACTGACTTTTCTTTCCAAGTAAGTGTCACTTTCAATGGACAAATCTTGGCAGAAGTCACTTCTTTGGAGTCATTGCTGCTATTAGCTATCTGAAGGATAATCAGGGTGGAGGTGGGGGTTGCTAATTTACCCGAAATGTTCTACTTGATACAGTGTCTAACAGAAGTAGCTTTAAACTGTCTGCCTTTTTTTTTTTTTCTGATTGGATTTAACTTGCAAATCCAGGATTCATTTCTGTTCTATTAAAGACAAAAGTTATTTAAAATTCTGTCCTACGGCTTTTTCCAGATGTAGCCTAAATATAACAAAGCATGTTGTGTAGTCCATAGGATACAACAATGTCAAATACACTACTCGAAGAAAAGTTAAGTCTTTAGGAATTTTGCTAGAATTATAATTGAAGAAGGTTCTTTCCATTTCTGTACTGCTTTACACTTGTCTATGATATTAGTCTCTCTGCTCAGAAGAGGAGCAGTGACCTTCAGTTTTTTCTATGAACGTTGCTCCAAGGAATGAAACGTAAGGGCAGCTGGCTGGTCACAGCAGTACACATTTATTGCTGCTTTTTTTTTTTATATAGCTCTAAGCTTGGGCTCTTCAGAATCGTAGCCCACATGCATTTGTATGTTTCTATTTGCAAGCTCTGTGTTCCCAGGTCAGAGCTGAGAAGCATTATTTGCAGCAACCTTCAAATCAGTGCTTGACAGTTTCTCAGAACTTAATGTTTGTGTTGGATTCCAGTTTTACATCAATGTTATTTTAGAAAAAAAATTCCATGCAATGCTCAGAGTTTCCTGCATTCAGTTTAACTTTTTTTTTCTGGAAAATAATGCTTTGAGGAGACTTTTTTGTTCAATGTGGAAGGGTGTACTGTCCTTGACGGTTGCAACCCTCATTCTTACAGTTTGTTTTTTGCTGTTGTTTGTTTGTGTTTTAAGGCTTTTGGCTCAGTTACATGAAACAGAGTCTGCCTTTGATGAGTTTTGGATTAAGCACCAGCAAAAACTTGAGCAGTGTCTGCACCTTCGGAATTTTGAACAGAATTTTAGAGAGGTGAGAACTTCTTGGTGGCAGTCAATATTTGGTAACGTAGAAGTGATTCAGAAGCAAATACTTCCCCTCTTGTTTTCACAGCTCTTGTGTGTGTACTTGAAAAAAAATTGGAGAAAGCTTTCTTTGACGTGTCCTTACTTGACATCTTGCTATCTTTACTACCTTGAATACTTGCCTATGCAGACATAATAGCTTCTCTTCTGTATGTTATTTTTTTTTCCATGGGCCCAGCAGTGTATAAGCATTCAAAAACTCCTTTGAAACCTATTCTCTACCACAGAAGCATAATGTGCTGGCTGCAAGGCTTTCATCTTGCCAATAGGCCCTTTTATGGAACCAAGGCTTACCTAAACCTTCTGGCTGAAATCTTATAAAGCAGCCTCCAGCACTGTGGGTGGGAAGTTGCAACCACGATGTTAGAAGCTGGGTGGAGGCTGAACTAAAATTTTTACAGCCAGGTTCTGATCTCATATTAGTTTAATGCATGTGCTTTATTGCACCTACAGACGGTTTTCTCTGGTGTATTCTGATCTCAGAATAGGGTCCCTGTGTCTCCCCAGGATCAACATTCAAAAACCATATGACAAGTATGTGTGTATGTGTCTTTCTCTAAACCAATTGGTACAGTGAGGACCTCACCCTCATGTTGTGCTCTCTGCATTAGTATCAGATTGTACTATTGCCATCTGGTAAAAGCAAGATGATAAATTCATCCTGGATTTTTTTTCTAGTACCAAGAAACATAATGCTCAGAAAACAAGATTACTTCACTGCCATTTCTTTGTGTTTAATTTTAGTTTTAGTTGGGGGGGGGGGGGGAAGGTAGATTTGTGTCTATGCCTCAGGAACACCATAATGTGAGTCACTAGAGTGGGAATACTGGCTATCAGCTATTTGACCCCCAAAAGCACAGTCATCCTCATTGACATATACATGTATCTCATTTCAGGTTAAGGCAGCTTTGGATATTGTGTCTGAGAGACTGTCTGCTTTCACAGATGTGGGAAACAGCTGCTCACATGTGGAGCACATTTTGAAAGATCTTGTCAACTTTGAAGAAAAATCACGTGTAAGAACTCTGCAATTTACTGTTTCTAGCATAAGCATGTGTTTATAGAGAGAGAAATGATATTTAGTTATTGAAATATTGTATGACCAGAGCTTAAGCTAACAGCAGGGCAGAACTAAGTGTCTATTCCAAATTAGTTCTGCACATTACTTTAAAATTTTTAACCATTGAAGTTGCCCATTTTTCAAGCAACCCTTGATAAAGAGCAGAGTGACTAACCATAAAGCCAATATGATTGGTTCATGGAAGAATTTGATGAAATGCCAACGTAGCCAAGTTCTGCTTAGTGATCAAGGGAGGTACTTCCATTCTTGTGAGACCACTTACTGCTTTAAAAGCCAAAAATTAGAAGGCTCTATATTGAGTGCACAATATAGTGAAACAAAAGTATACTCTAAAATATAAAAGAGGAACATAATTAACAAGTTAAGACCTATGTTTAATGTAAGTGAGACTATTGCTCTTGGGGATGAGGTGCTGGAGTAATGTCGTTTTTGTTTCAGTTCAGATCACTTCTGTACTCCAAGTTACATATATATACGCACAAACATGCTGCTGAATAACTAAGGAACACAAGGACTAAAAGTGGTTCCTTCCCAGGGATCGTGGGAACTCATTCATATTTCTGAAGTATCTGATACAATAAGGCAGGAGGCATAAAAGATTTTAGGCATCTGGAAAGATAGGAAATCACTTTGATTTGTTAACTAAGACTGTTATGTATTCTGTATCAATCTATGTGTTTTTACTGTGCAAAAACAAATAGTTAAAGTTCTAATTTTTTAAACTGATGTTGACTGATGTACCTCAATCAATGCTTGCTTTCTTAGGAAACTGTAGCAAAAGCCAGAATGCTAGCTTCAGAGGGTGACGCTTTTATTCAGAGCAATCATTATGCTGTGGACTCCATTATTCCAAAATGCAGTGAACTTCATCATCTCTGTGATGCCTTCACTACTGAGATGGAACGGAAGAGGAATGTTCTTAATAAATCTCTAGAACTGCATGGCTTACTGGAAAAGGTAAGTTTTCTGTGGAGCAGTTTTGTTTCCTGTCTTGAGTTCTAAAACCTCCATCAACCCATTGAAACAGCAGATAAAAAAAAAATACCTGGGTATGCTGAAAGTTTTGTCCTTAAACAGCTGAATTCATCACAAATAGAAGGATGAAATGTGTTAGACCATAGTGTTTGATGTTGATATAAATGCATTCTGAGCCTGTTCTTTTCTTTGTTTCTAGTCTATGAAGTGGTGCGATGAAGGAATTTATCTTCTGGCTTCGCAGCCTGTAGATAAGTGTCAGTCTCAGGATGGTGCAGAATCAGCGTTACAGGAGATTGAGAAATTCCTAGACACTGGTGCAGGCAATAAAATTAAGGAGTTGAAAAAAGTTTACAGAGAGTATGCACACATCCTCAATGAGGACCTAAAGGTACCATAACTTATTCATGTATGCATGCATCAATTTGTTAGAATTGCTGTCTTGCATGGCCATTGATAAAGCTAGTCCTCCTAGGTGACTTCATGCCATTTATCAAGGTCCTTGGGTACTTACCCAAGATCTTTGGATAGACATCAAGAGATCCAGAACCAATTAATAACAACTTAAATTCTTTAGATAGTAGCATTGATGTTTTTAATAAATAAATCTCTAATCTTTCAAATACTTGAAATATTTTTTATAATGAAAACATGACTTTCCTTGATACTTGCACAACTTCTAGAAAAAAGCAGTTACAAAATAGAACTTGAAAATACATCTCTTTTCCTTCTTGCTGATGTTGTCTTGAAATAGAGCCATTAGACACTTCCAAGAAAACTTCAGTTTTTACTTTTTTCTTAAATCAAAACTTGAACCCCATTTGTTTCTCTAAGAAATAACAAAAAAAAGCTTTGTGACAATATATTCCAACCTTAAGCATATTAAATAACTGTAAATTATGCCTTGTTAGGTGTGATGAGTAGGGTAATATTTTTATACGTGGTATGAAAGCAATAATCATTGCAAATCAATGCACCACAAATAGAAGTATAGCTTGTTGATGGCTCTCTGACAGTGATTTTTAATTTTTTTCATGTGGCAATGGTAGGAGCATATACAAAAGGTTTTCCAGAAGCAAGAAAGCATGGAAGAAATGTTTCAAAAGAGACAAGTAAGTCTTAAGAAACTGGCAGCTAAGCAAACACGTCCTGTTCAGCCAGTTGCACCTAGACCCGAAGCCTTTGTAAAATCTCCTTGTACCTCTCCAGGTAAGTAAATGTACTAGAGTTAAGTCATTTTTTACACCGTGTTAAGAAACTTGAAGAAACTTTCAGCTGTAATTTGTGGTTGTACAAACATCTGTGTTAGATCCGCTCGAGTTCTAACTGCTGTTTGGTTCTGGTTTATATGCTTAGGTCTTCAAAGAGATTGTGTATCCAACACAGAAAGCGGTGTGCTTCGGAAAGTAAACTACAGAAGAGGAAAGGTAACATTCTTTTCAGTGTTTTTTTTCATGTACGCACTGCTTGAGAAAGTCATAACACAATGGAATATTCAACAACTTCAAGAAGAATTAGGCTATTTCACTGAAAATGTGCTGATATTGCCCTATCAAGGTAACTCTAGTTTAAATAAAGACTGCTTTGTCACACAGCTGAGTATGAGAGAAGGTAAAGTAAATAGTTGCCTATATTAGGAAAAATGTTAGGGGCAGCAAAATGTAAAATCTATGAACAGGAAACATTTATTATTTGCCAGTAGTAATTGGCTACTCTTAAAACTAGAGAAAGTGAAAAGGTAGTTGTCATTGGCTCAAAGAAAGCTTCACCTGACCTAATGGTTTGCCATTCCCAAATGGGGAAGGTCTTCCTGCTCCGCCTCCGGCAAGGAAAATAACCTGACGACAGCAGCAGAAACAAATAGTTTTCCACTGAGTTAGAGAGTTGAATTAACTCAGTAAAGGTTCAGCAAGAGTCAAGTGATGACGCAAGGAGATGGATAAGATTGTATGACCAGTAGGGACAACAGCTGGAGAAAAGGGTTGGCTTGGGGGAGAACTGAAAGGAGAATATATATATGTATACTTTTTTTTTAAAGCAAAAGCTTGAATTAGCTCAGACATTACAATAAAATTTGTAAAAGTGAAATTCTACCAAGTTAGTAATTTACCAGAACGTTAGCACAGTACCTGATTTTTAGCTTGGAAAGCAGACTCTAGCCCAGCATTGCCTCCAAGATTATGCTGTTGCTGTGACGTTATCTTACTGCAGAAAGATCTTGAGCCACCGTCTTTTCTAATCTGGCCTTTGACAGTGAACTCTCTGTATCTCAATGTTCATGCATGCTTTGAGATATTCAGGTTGACTTGAATTTTTTTCACTGAGTTTCTGCAAAATGATTTCATTATTAATGGAGTACAGCTTTTCCTGTGAAAACTCACATAAATAGACGTGAGTGCAAAGCTCCGTATTTTAAAGTCCTTTTTCCTCCTCTGTCTGTTATGCTGTGATAATTTTTTTGTTTGTTTGTTTCCTCCTTTAGAGTGAAATGAGTGAACTCCATCAAAGCAGAGGAGGATCTACGATGGATGATGAAGAAAACCTAGCTGTGTTACGGCAGTAAGTATATTTTGATGAACAACAAATGTTCTTTCTCTGATTTGCTTCCAGTAAAGTCTGAGTTGGGCTAAAGATTTGATAAGACAAGTATGCTTCTATGCTTTGTACATGGAGAAGGATGCTTCAGTCTGTCTGCAGTGTTATTTAGAGCTTACAGAGTCTAGCTTTGCTACAGCGAGATAATACTATGGGAGGAAAATCACATATTTTCATGTCAGAGAATTTTTTTGAGGAATAAGCCTCCTGTAAATCTGTCATATACTTTGGTCTCTGTGCTTTAGAGGATAGTTTTTATTATTATTTGACTCTTTAGACTCTGTTTTGATTAATCTTAAGAACTTTTCAGTATTAAAACTAAATAGCATCCCTTATTCCACCTGCAAGTGGTACAGAACTTTTATTTCTAACTGAAACCTGGATGTTCTTGCTGTCTTTTCACTATTATAACATGTGCTAAATCCTCTGAAATCACAAAGGCTGGGGGGAGAAGCAAGTGTGTTTGTTTAATTACCAAGGAAAGCTAACCTTAAAAAGAGGCACTGTGACTTTTAAGCTACAGCAAATGCCTCAGATTTAAAGTGACCAGTGTAACTTGAAACCTTTGCACCTCTAACTTCAGCTTCTGTAATACTTGCAAATGCAACGTAAACAGATTTTATGTATACAATAATAAAAATTGTTCACTGCGTCTGTTCAGGTCCTAGGGTGCTTGAAATTCTAGCTTTGTCTTTTTTTTTCTTCTCCTATTTAAACACCTTTTCGACTTCAAAATGTTTTAAAAACGCGTGCTTCTCAGTGTGGGCATATAAGCTGTGGACAGAAATATCTATGAAAATCACATTTTACGTTACTTCAGAAAATAAAAGAACAATTTCCAGATGAAATAGGAACATACGAAGTTAACATTGCCTTAATACTTTGCATAAATGAATAGGCCTTCCTTCCTTAATTATCATTCTTTGTTTTCAGGCATGTAATGAATGAACTTATTGAAACTGAACGAGCATATGTGGAAGAACTTCTCTGTGTTCTTGAGGTAAAGATTAAATTTCACTCTGACTGATCTGAATCTACGAAAGGAACAGAAATAGATGTTCTTATGCTTTCCTCATCTCTATGATGCTTATCCTTTTCTTGTCAAGTAGTGTGACTGCCACATCTCTCTGCCCTCACCATGTTTTCACATGTTGATTTCAATGCATATTTTTCTAAAAATACACGTCTAGGAGTTTATCTTAGCAAATAGCAGGAGTAAGATATGCCCAACTATTGAGATAGAACAGAGGGAGATTTGTAATGATCATTAATTCTTGTAGAATTCCCTTCCAGAGTCTTGGGTCAGTTCCAGGAAGATTGCATGTCACAATGGAAAGTGAATTTGCTTTGAGATAATCTTGTATCAGAGGAGCAAATCTGTTAATCACATCCTTCTTCGTAGGCCTTTAAGTAACCTTCCAAATGTCTCAGGTACAACTATGGCTACAGAGTACCTTGTAGTAATAATATAGTGATTCAAAATTGTGAAGGCAACAAGAATTTTTCCTTTGCTCCACACTCATGGAGACATAATTGCAGCATTTGCAAGTTGCTTCTAGAACATGGTACAGAGTTCTGTATTCTTCTTGTTTGTTAAATATTCAGACACGTATGCAGCATTTTGTTGTAGTCCAGTCTGGCTTTGGAGATATTAAAGCTGCAGATAACTTGACAGTGACTTTAATCAGGATGAATCACAACTGAGCCAATTGAGATACTTCTGGTGTCCACACCAGTTTTAGGCTTTTCAATAGGAGCTGTCTTATTTTATGGACTGGAAGTGATAATTTCTGAGTACATATCTTCAGGTTAAAAAAAAAAAAAAAGTAGTACTGTATGAACTCTGGCCTTGCTTTTGCCTGGTTTATAGTCAGTTTCCAATAGTGTTCCTGCCCTGGATTTTGTCCAAGTGCTGGGATGCCCCATTGATAGGGCAGCTGTATACACTGAGGTATGCAGTGTGGGTCTGGAGTGGACCTTAAGGATTGCTTTATTCTTTGCTTTTGTATGTAATGCTATCTGTATAATTCTGCTAAAATCAAGGTTCAAATGGTTTTAGGATTTTTGGTCCTTCCTGCTACTACTGGAAGTATTGCAGAATTTTTCTATTCCTCCAGTATTTTTCTTGTTTTACACAAGTCTTGCAAAGTCAAGCTCTCTTAGTTTTCTGCCAATTCAGTTGACTCTCCAGCACTCTGACTATGCCAGTGGCACTTCTCTCTACTTTTGTGCAGTTTGGGATTCATCGCTCTTGAATCTGGGTGATGAGAACTGCCAACCGTAATTCTGGGTCAGATCCTTGCTGATGTTTGTTTTAATGGCAGCCTTCCAGCTCTTGAGTAATTCTTACTAATAATCCATACTTACGACTATTTCCCCAATTCTTCCTCCTGTTCTATCTTTCTAATTTTCCTGTAAAATAATATACTCATTTGTGTGGACAATATCTCCTTTCATGTTGCATCTTTTTTGTCATGCCATTTTCTCTCAGCAAAGGATTCAAATGGAAAATTAAAGGTAATTTACAAGATCAATTACTAGGAAACTCCTGTAGCTGTTTTTAAGTGAGCCTGTTAGTTTTCCTTTTATTAATAATGACACTTATTCCACTTCAGTCTGTGAAATCCAAAAATCTGTACTGGGAAAAAATGCTGCTTTAGTCTATTACTGGAAATTTCATTCTACTCTTTTTCCATTTATTTCTATGCTTTTAGAACAGCTTTCAAATAGAAGATTAAACAAAGCCTTGTGTATTATTACTGATCCCCATTGGTGCAAGGAATAGCTTTTCTTCTCCTTTCTTAAGATATAAATACTACTCAGGTAGTAAAACATTAAATTTTTTTATCTTGCAGTTGAAAAATAAGCGCTGTGCCAGTCTAGAGGGAAAATACAAAACCATGACATACTGTTAACAGCTTTTTGTCAATGTATGTATTTTCATGGTTTTGTTCTTTCAGAATTCCAGAGTACTGAGCTCCATGAGTTTTGTTTTCATCTCAGCTGGGTTAGTTGCCTCTTCCTGAGGCCAATCCTGTCTTTGTTGCAATGTCCAACATCATTCTTGCTCTGATGGAAATGTAGTAGTCTATTCCTGCATCGCTTCTCTGAATCTAAACTGCTTAGTGTTCGGTTTTTCTTCCTGCTCATTTTTTTTGTACTCCATTTTATGCAAATCAATGAGTCATTTTTATCTTTTTAAAGGTTATACTTCTGGATTTCTCTAGCTGCTACTTTTCTTTTTTCTTTCCTTTTTAACTAAGACTTTGTGTTTTTGTACTCATGGGAAAGAGATGGGAAAGGGACCGTGTTCAGCAATCAGTGAGCTCCAGCAGCTTTGCCTATACCATTGTTGTTTTTTTCCCTCAGTGTTTGAGGGGAAAAAACACTCCGATTTCTAAAGGATTTTTAAATATAAATAAAAATCTAGTTGCTAGTTGATCAAATGCCTGAGTTCTTTAGGCTAGCTGACTTTACCAGCTAGTTCTCCTACTATTTCTAGTTTGGGCTTTAAAGTCTTGATTGCAGGTGTGTTGTTGCTTATCCTTCCTTTTACCTTGTCACTTTGTTATGGTTCAGTGAAGTTTATTATAAATTGTTGTCACTAATGCAGTTATTTTTTCTGTGACCACCTTGTCCATGACAACTGTGTTGAGAGCAAGAGAGAGAAATCTAATCCAAATCTAAACTACTTCACATCATCTTCCTTCAACTGTGAAATTCAGTAATATTTAAATCTTTCATCATTCCTAGCACTTGTCCAATCCATATGATCTTTTCCCACTATCTATGGTTTTGTTCAATTCACCTTACTAAACTGACAAATTTCATAGGAAGTCATTTAAGCCGAGGCACCTTTCTTCTGTCTTGGAGATGATGAATGCCTTTTAGTCTAAGAAATGCAGGTACCATTAGCTGGCATTAAATGAAGCCATTCTTTCATACTTGCTACAGATACTTTTTTCCTTTTTCTTCTGGGAGATCTCTTAATCACAGCTTAATCACCTCAGGGTATGAGAGGAGAACACTCTTGAGCTAAAGCCATTGTGTGCCTCCTTTTCCTTACTTGTGCCAAATATGTGTATAAGAGAATGTGGCCTTAAATGTTACACAGAAGATGTCAGAATCTAAAGGTAATGAATTTGGGTGACAAATATAATGAAAATATCTTTAAAAAATATATGCAGCTTAATGGTTTCTTTTAGAATTAACTGTAGTCCTCCTGCTCCCTCTTCATAATAGCTAAAACCAGCTGAAGGTTTGCTGGAATTGTGGCTTTAAACTCAGATATGTAAAGTTTAATACAAAATGCAAACTCTTATGTCTGAGCAACATGGGAATATATGGTTTTTGGTGGAAATGATTGCAAACTGTTTTATCTTTATTTCAGTAAAAATTGCAGTAATTATCCATGTGTATTTTGAAAACCTGCATTCAATGCATCTTACTGAACAGATGAAAGAACAGATTTTGTAGATTTATTTCATGATTAATACTGAACTCTTTCTTTATCAGCCTGCTGAGGCAAACTGCCCTATCAAAGAGAGGAAGATAATCAGTGTACCCTCTTTTGTGTTCTAGGGGTATGCTGCAGAGATGGACAACCCCTTAATGGCTCACCTCATTTCACCAGAACTTCAAAACAAGAAGGATATTTTGTTTGGAAATATGGAAGAAATTTATCACTTTCACAACAGGTGAGGATTTGGATTCAGATGTAAAAGTAACATTTGGATGGGATATTGCTAAAAGATCCTTACTGAGCCTCACCTAGCTCTCTACTGAGTCAAAACCGATATTGCATTGGAGAAGAAACTTTATTCAAACATTTTCAGAACACTGATAAAATTTTGCATCTTCTTGAAGAGAAGTATTGTGATCTGATTACAAACTTATTGAAGCAAAGTTTGTTTGCTTTTTTTGGTTTCTTTTATTTTTAAACTTTCAATGGAAAGTAAATTATTCTCCTAAACCACAAATTTTCTGTGCTCTTGCATCTGGTTGAGGCTATTTAATTTTTATACTTAACGACCTTGCTGCTGGAGAGATGTTTCTTCACATGGCAATATCTAAATATTTAGAAGATATGCTTAATTTGCCTTGAAAATACTTATTAAGTAGCTGTTTCTTATTCAGGAAAAACTAGACTTCAGTGTTTGTCACTTTTTCACGTATTATTTGAGTTGTGTTGCTTGATAGCTTTTGGAAGAAAAAAAACCACTAAATTTTATAAATCCTACTACTAAATACATAAGGCAGGGAAGCAAAGCCATTTTGCCCCCACCTAAATCTTATATTTGGTTTCTGTTATGGCAACAGTAAGCTAAAAGAAATTGATCAGAACGTGTTTATTTTGCTACTCCTTTTTAAAACATTTAGGACAGTTTTGTTTAATTTCATAAGAATTACAGCTCTGTTTCTTTAAGTTTAGACAACAATGAATTGCAAGAATGTGAATGTTTACAATTTTCTTTGACATTTGCTCAAAGAAAATCTTCTTCCTTGTAGGATATTCTTGAGAGAACTAGAAAATTATGTAGAATACCCAGAACTGGTAGGACGGTGCTTTCTGGATCAGGTATGTGTCATCTTTAGCTGACATTTCATTTGTAAGCTCTTCTAAGACTGTTACAGCTGAGAGTAATTTTTATGTAATAATTGCCACCAGGTCCCCTTTGTTTGTTTTGAACAGATTAGAGAGTTGGGGATATTTTCCACTGTGGGCTGTAATTAATTTTGATAGGAAGAGCTACTACTGTTTTTGAAAGAAAATTGCTTTATTAAAGTTGCAATTAGCAAAACATGAAGAAGCATCATGAGTTGGATCATTTGACATTACTGATTATTTTGCTTAATCTTACTGGAAAATATTTTATATTGCAAAAACAGAAAGCAGAATTTGAAACTTTCATGAATAACCAAATGAAAATAATATGTGTGAAGTCTCTGAAGCAACAGGAAGCACTATGGGGCTTGTGTAAGCAAACACAATTGAAAAATATCCACTTCTTGAAGACAGCATTGAAGTGATAAGGGACAACAAACTAGTTGGTCCACTTCCAGTGACAAACACATTCACAAAATGCAAATGCATAAAGAATGAAGGGCAAAAGTTTTTTGAGTAACTTATGCAGAGGGAATCATGTTCTGGCATTAATTGAATTAAATTAAAAGACCCCGTTTTTTCATATATGTGTTTGTAAATACAACATGTGCTTCTTTATAAGGCACTTGTTCAATTGAAGTAAAAGTTAACAGGAACATTTTATTCATACGTTCTATGTACAAAATGAGCAGCTGTTACAAAATGAGTGGTATTGAAAAACTGTTGCCTGTTAGGGATGCCTTAAGGAATTGTCCTTTTTCCTTAGACTTGTTTGAACTGAAAAATTCTTAAGAACATTCCCTATTAAGAAAAAAAAAAAATAAATCATTTACTTTTTACTCTTCTCCCCAAATCAGATGGAAGATTTTCAGATTTATGAGAAATACTGTCAAAACAAACCTCGATCTGAAAGTTTGTGGAGGCAATTTTCAGATTCCGTATTCTTTCAGGTATGCTTACTTGATTCTCTGGAATATTTTTGCATTTATTTTTTTGTTAAAATTGCTAATTTATCTCAAGTATGAATAACAAAATATATTGATTTGTGTACTGACAAAATCTGACACTCATTATAGGAATGTCAAAGGAAACTTGATCACAAGCTCAGTTTGGACTCATACTTGCTGAAGCCAGTTCAAAGAATAACCAAATACCAATTATTGCTAAAGGTATGTGTTACAAAATTATAATGCTAAATGTATTTTTTTTCTTTTTTTCTTCTAAATGTTGCTTCTCTCATCCCACTGCAGAAGAAATCTAAATGAGTGGAGTGGTGTATAAATCAAAATTGAAAACGTGTCCAGAAAGAATCAGTTAACTGGAGTCTTCAAAGCAACTTGTGTTGTAGGGAAAGTACTTAACTGTGGTCACTGTATGCAATTTTTAGGAAGGATGCCATTCTGATTCGTCTAGACATACTATGGGCAGAGGGAACAAAATGAGAGATGTAGTATAATATATTTCAAAATGAATGTCTAACTTTTTGCTGTGCTTGAAACTGATTTGTTTTAGGAAATAGTCACTACATGGACACAAGGTTCAATAATTGTGTTTAATGGTAGTTTACTCTTGAGTTAAAACTGAGTTAATTAATTCTTTGAAAGCTCTTAATTTACTTTGAGCTTTTATGAAGAGAGAAGTACCTGAAAAGTATTCTGTTTAAAGAATCTTTTCTTTCTGAACTCCATGAGTAAATACTTATTCTCATACTGCTCTGTACATCTGGATCAAATGGGAAGATACAACTTCCCCAGTAAACTTTTTGGAGAAGAAATACTTTTTTAAATGTGTAAGCAGTGTTCTACAAAGTATCTTTAGGTCTGCAGCTAGCATCCCAATAATTCAATTCATCCTAATTCAAATGATAAATGCAATTTGCCTATGTTTTTACATTTGTTATTTTTTAAAAGCAACACAATGTAAAAATAAGGAGTGGAAGAAGGATGACATTGGGGTTTTGCTTTTGTTTTAAGCAATCGTGGTTAAAAATGCTCAATAACTCAGACTTGTAAATTTCTTAGGCTGTGCTTATAGAAGGTTTAGGAGAATTAGGAGACTGGTTAGCAGCAGATGTGAGGTAAAACTTGGGGTCTTTTCAGTTAGTGCCAATACTTAATCCACTAGATTATACAGTGTAAACTTCACTGGATAACTTTAAAAATGTCAGCCAAATTCAGTGTTAAAATAATCCTAGTTACTGCTGTTTGCAAAACAAAGTGTGTTGTCTCTCTTTGCCTGCTCAGGAAATGCTGAAGTACAGTAAGAACTGTGAAGGTGCTGAAGACCTCCAGGAGGCATTAAATTCTATATTGGGTATTCTCAAAGCAGTCAATGATTCTATGCACCAGATAGCCATCACAGGCTATGATGTGAGTAACAATATTATTTTTTAGGCACCTACATATAGTGTATTCCCTATTGTGCATTGAATAATGAGAGAAATATTTTACAAAATACACCTTTTAAACTGCATTATATAATGAAAACAGTGGAAAGATGATCTCTCTTTTCTGAGGTTTTCCTGGTATGAATAATATTTTCCTCTGTCTGCTTAAGTTTTCTTTCTTTGATCTACTTTTCACCAAGTTGAAAACAGAAAATAGTCCTGAACAGTCTGGCTTAGGATACTGCCAAACAGGAGTCACTTCTAAGTTCTTTGTATCCATGTGTAAATCTACATCTAGAACTTCCAGGGAAAGAAAACAAACGAACAGATAAATATAAGGAGCTTTGCAGTAGGCAAAAAAAAAACAGATATGTATTGCACCTCCTCCTTTTTTTCTGTGTGTGATCTCTGTGTTTTGCCATTGCTACTCTTGACTGTAAAATCATGCCTGAACAGTGTAGGAGAGAGAATATTAAACACTATGTTGAATTTGGGAAGATAATGAAAATATAAACACTGATGTGAGATTAATTGGAATGGCAGAACTTGTAACGACCTGTTTAGAGTGTGTGTTTCAGTCAGATGTTACCTCTTTGTAGTTATAAATACCACTTTTCTGTTCTAGGGAAACCTGAATGAGCTGGGCAAGCTTCTAATGCAGGGATCCTTCAATGTCTGGACTGATCATAAAAAGGGTCACTCAAAGGTGAAAGACTTGGCACGCTTCAAGCCAATGCAGCGACACCTGTTCCTCCACGAGAAAGCAGTGCTGTTCTGTAAAAAGCGAGAAGAAAACGGAGAGGGATATGAGAAGGCACCTTCTTATAGCTATAAACACTCCTTAAATGTAAGGCACTCAGCAGTCCAGGAAGGGTAGTGATAATAAGGGATTAGTTGCAGTAACACACTTTTTTTATTGTTGTCGCGTTGCAGTTTTTCAGTGTAAGCTTCACTCTTTCAGGCAAGTGTAATTGTTAGTGCAAGTCTGTGTCACTTTGAGCTGATGGGTGATGGTGTCAGGGGGGTAAACTGTCCTTTGCAAATGTCTAAACCACGCTAGTCTAGCTAGATGGCAGTTGCATTAATCACTTGGAAAATGTAACAGTGGGGTAGTATAAAATAGATGTAAGATTTGTCACTCTGGATTCTAAGAGACAGTTTGTGAGTCAGTCTTAATTTAATTAACTTAAACCTTTTTTCCCTTTGAGGTAGCCATGCTGACATAATGCATTGAAGGCCTTGTGTCTAACATGCAGATCATGTGCTTTCTTTTCGTTGAGCCAAATGTGGCTTTGTTTTTCATAAGTAGGTTACCAAAGAATACTAGTAGCCTTCTGCAATTTGGTAGGTCAGCAGCTGTCCTTTTTGCTTCCAGATGGCAGCAGTTGGAATAACAGAAAATGTCAAAGGTGATGCAAAAAAATTTGAAATCTGGTATAATGCAAGAGAAGAAGTTTACATCATACAGGTAACATCATGCAAATACCTTCTAAAATAATAACATTTAATAAGTTGAAAAGTGAGGGGGGGAATTCTAAACCTAACAAGATCTATTTTATTTTCGCTTTTTTCTTCCCTTTGTTTTTAATCATATTTTACAATACCCATGCAAGGTATTGCATATACCATTGCTATCGTTTTCACTGGAGCAGCAGATTTTTGGGAGCCAGGGTAAGACTGTGGCACGTGCACAGCTTTATCCTTCAGTTTCTGCTTACTGAGAGGCTAGGGAGAGGATCTGGCTGTTCCTCTTGAAAAATTCCTCTGAGGTTGTGCTCCAGCTTGCAGCTTTTTGTATGTTCAGTGCCTGATCGTATTTTATTTTTTTCCTGGGTAGGCACCAACTCCTGAAGTTAAAGCCACTTGGGTAAATGAAATCAGAAAAGTGCTGACTAGTCAACTGCAGGCATGCAGAGGTAAAATATTTTTTATATATACACACATCTATTTTAATCTCTTTTCTCCTTCAACTTCAAAATCTGTTCACCACTGTGTTCGATTGCAAGAATGAAAAGATTAAATCACAGATCAGTTAAATTGTTCTTTCTCTCCATTACAGAAGCCAGTCAGCATAGGACACTTGAACACACTCAGAGTTTACCTCTACCAGCATCATCTTGTACAAGGTAAGTAAGTTAGCATACTGGGCTGATTTGACAACTAATGCATTCACTTTGCAATCTTTATTACTCCTATTCCTCAGTAGTGACACTTATATTTTAGGGGTTTTTAGGTCTCTTTCTAGTATAAAGCTGCTAAGATTGGGGTTTGCATACATCTGCAGAACTGTTAAGCTGAGCAACAGTGGCATGGGCTTTGCAGATAGTAATCTTTTGTGCCAGCCATAATCCTGGTGGTACCATGATTCTGTTTGTTGAACGGTCAGTTATATACTTCACATCCCAGGTAAGAGAGTTATGTACTGCAGCCTTCGCCTTTTTTTCTTTGTTCTTTTCCATCACTTAAATTATTTTTCTTTCAGATTCATGTCATTTTTCTTTTTGTCCTTTACAGAGCATTTTTTTTCTATTTCTCATTTCTTTTTTCCTCCAACTTTCTTACTGAGTGATGTATTCATTCCTTCAGCATCTGTTCAAGTTTAGAGTCAAGCTTTTCTTTATTGTCCTGTGCTTCATCCTTCATCCTTACCAACCTATATAAGCGCAGTCCTTTGCTCTCCCCTGCTGTTCTGCCCTTCTCTGACCTCTGCTACTTGCTTTTTCTTTTTTTTTTGCCTATATTGTATGAGTTTCACCCATACACCTATATACTCATATCTTCAGTAATTGCTGTGTGGTGTGTGCTTGAATATGCATTGGTAGCTCTTGGTCCTGGATGGTTCCATGCACCTACTTATCACTTACTGAGAATTTCCCTGGTATGCAGCAAGTGTGGGGTGTCTCTCATTTCCATTTGCAATCAGAGGTGTGATGGGAATCAGAGTGTACATTCAGCACATCATCTCTGTTTACACTATGTCTGCTTCCTGTGTTAAGAGCTTCTGTGATGCAGAGTTTATTCTTGTTCCTTTTGTTCTTTTCTTCCCCTTTTATTTGCTTTTTCTGGAACACGTGTCTGTAGTTAAGACTGAGAGGAAGTTATCCTGAGTTGACTTTTTAGTAGTTCCCAACTGCCACACTACATTTGCAGTCCAAATCAAAACCTTCCTCCTTTATATGTGCTCGTGGTCTTTCTGTGCACAGTCACTAATGTGCACAGCTTCAACCAAGTAGCTAAGAAATAATTTTCAGCCTATATATCTATATATAAAAGATATCTGTATGTCAAAGGCAATCTGAGTCAAGGTCATCACTCTTGTTCAGATCCAAATTTGCTGGATTGATTGTCTTAATTTTCTTCCAATAAACAGTCCTTCAAGGAACAACATCAGAAACACGAAAAAAATGGATGAAAGAAAAGCTGATCTCACAGGTCTGGAAGGTTATGTCACCACAGTAGCACCAAAGTACCCCGAGAAAAGCAAAGGTGAGTTTGGACATATATATTGTTGTTTTTAGATGTGAAAAGCATGCTTGCACTGCAGATACACAGGCAGATCCACCAGCATGGTAGCCATGGTAGTATAGGCAAGTGCAGCGTTATACTTGAAGGAGCAGGACTTTACTGCTTGAAGCCCCAAGGCAGCCCACCCACAGTGTGCTGCATGCAGTGTGAACATGCCAGTCCAATCTGCCCTTGCCTCAGAGGTTTGTGCTCCACTCTGTGTGGACAGGCCCAAAGCCATGCTAGTGAAGGGATAGCACCAGGAAGATGGGAACTGTGGGTTATGAGGTCTTAAACTGCAGTATGCCTTCTCTTAGAGCTGCCTGGCTTCTCAGCTTTTACTTCTTATGGATAAATTTGTTAGCGTTATCTATTTTAATGAGTTTTTTTTTTCACCTTGAATTTTGGTTTATGTCGCTGAGATAATTTACTGGACTAGCACAAATACAAACCCCTGTACAAATACGATCAACTGGACACTTGGGTTCTTCTATTGGACTTGGACTTTCAGTTGTCCTTCCTCACCCTGGTTCCTTGGCAGGGCTCTGAATCATTTTTTTGCCTCGACCTTTTCATGGCCTTTTCCCTTTTCTCTGTTTCTTTCTTTTCCTTTGTAGATGACACTAGCTCTACCTCAGAATGCTCTGTACTGTCAAAAAAGCGCTTTATGCTGCAGGGCTTTACTAACCTCAAAAGTCAGAAAGGTAATTTAAAGAGGAAAAAAATAGCTAGATGTTCTCTATGTAAGGTTGTAATTGAATTGCTTTGTGTGTGTGTGTGTGTGTGTGTGTGTGTGGTGTAACAGGCTCACGTATACTTTTTCAATGTGTATATTAGCTTGTTTTCCTATGTTCAAGCTAGGTTCCTCAATCACAGACCATGACAGGGAGATTTTGAGAGAAATTGACTCTACTGTGAGGGAGAGGGTGATGAGCCCAGAAAAGCAGAACCATCGGAGACATAAGGAAAGGAATGTAGTTTCCAGTGCTTCCGGTCCCAATATTCAAGCCTAGGAAAGAGTTTAAAGGGCCCCATTCCTGCAGGAACCTAGAGGAAATTTCCTTCAGATGAAATGCCTGGCCTGCTTCTAGCTTCAGTGGATCTGCCCCAAATGTACCCATACTTGGCAAGAATGAATCAAGGTTTTGCTAGAGTATTTCTATCTATAAAGCATGACCCCTGCAAAACGTCTATGACAAGGTTATTTGGCTAGATACAGAAGCAAATAGGAACTTCTTTATGCTTCTGGAAATTGTCTTATTTCTTTTTTGCTAAAATAGGTAATTGGAGTCTGAGATCTCTCTTGTTTCCTCCTGCCAAGTAATAGCATGGATACATTCACTTCTTGCTTTGAATCTGCATCTTCAAACAGTCTGAATGGCACTAAGATGATCACACTTGTTCAAAAGCATGATTTCTTTTTCATGCATCTGATCAGTATGCCTCTTTAAAACTTGATTACCTTTGAGTTCTTTCTGGAGAGACTGATGCTTTAGGATTGTGTATCTAATAGTAATGAGGTGAGCACTAATATCCCACGCTTGCCTTGACAGAAACTCCATCTTCTACTGCTAAAAGCCAGACATTGCCAATGATCCTTCTTACAGGACCAGGTATTGCTGTAGCACTAGATTTGTACAAAAGCATTTGTTTAAATTGGTAATGTTTGTCTAAAACTGCAATTAATTGTATTCACTTGAAATCATGTGTAAACTTTTTGAAATGAATTAGGCATTATCTATCATCATAAAGCAATTTGTCAATTTATCTTCAAAAAAAAAATTTATGTGGAAAAACTACCTACTTCTGTAACTGAGCAATGGCATCTCAAATTAGAGTGATCTCAGAAATCTGTTTGTTTTCCAGTGTAAACTCAAAGGTATTTAGCATGCAATCCACTTCGTCTCTTTTTTCCAGTTCTTCAATATCTCTCTGTGTTTTTTTGCCTATTCATCCTCCTGCAGCTTCTCCTACCAGTCCTGACAAAAAAGCTAAACGGCATGAAGTAGTGAGTGATCCAACTCCTTTTGGTGTAAGAGGTAGTGTTACCACATCTTTACTCTGCAAATATCTACATACCCCTGATGCTGGGGATACCTGTATGATGATGAAGTTATGTAGCAGTGTTGATATCTGCTGGGTTTTTCTACATGGATCCATTGGCTTCTGTACACTTAGTTTCTGACAGCACAACCTGTCAAAGTTTTACCTCTGGCATCAAATGAAGTAGCATATGGCTAACTGCATTTATTTGAAAAGAATGGTAGGAAAGTGATGTTTTCCTGAATTACAGAATCATAGAATAGCTTGGGTTGGAAGGGATTCCAAGGATCATCAAGTTCCAGCCTCCCTGCCACAGGCAGGGTTACCAACCTCCTGATCTAGTACTCAACCAGGAGAAACAACCAGAAGCTGGATGTTAATAAAACTATGACACCTAGTTGCTATGAGATGCATGGTTTTCCACTTAGCATCTACCCCTAATTCTGCTCCTTGTGGGGAGAACTTAACTACTAAAAAAAAAAGAGGGGTTGAAGAAAACTCATTTATTCTAGTCAGAGTGGGGATCATTACTGCCCCGAGGAACATACATTGCTGTATTCCATTTTAGGTTTGTATTACTGAAGTCAGTCTCATTGCATCTTTTTTTGGGTGACAGAAAGCAGTTTTCAGCACCCTGTTAACTCCAGATGCTGTAGCTGAACCATAGCAGCGTTCTGCTTCGCGTTCTGCCTCCCGTCCTCCCAACCCACAGCTAAGCAATGAATATAAAGCATTTCAGTTAAATGACCCATTCCTAACTAGCAAGGCTTCAGTACAAATTCTAAAGGGTATATGGCAAGTATTCCTCTCTTTCTGGCTTTCTTCCCATGGCCATCTCTTAGAGAATATTATTCTAAGGATTAAGCTGTTTTGAGCCCTACCCTCCTCCTTTTCTCTGGGTTTTCGCAGCTGTTCATCTTTCTCACCTGTGGAGATGATGCTGTTTTTGCTGCTGTGTTGGAGAAACTTTGTGCAGTGTCTGAGCAGGAAGCAGTGTGATCCCAGGGCAGGCGCCCAGAGAACCTCTGTATTTAGTAATTCCTTCTTTCTGTCTCGCAACTTCTGATCTCTTTTCTGACATTTTAGCTTCTTCCTCAACAACTCAAACAGGGATGAGCAGGCAGTGGGCTCAGCCATTTCAGGGTGAGACTGCACCAGATGGTGCTCTCAGCTTCTCAGTGTGGAGTACGTTGTTCCTCTCATGTTCCTCTCACTCCCTTCCTTTCATGGCAGCAGCATACCTGCTTACATCCCCATGAGCTCAAGGAAAATGAATTAGTGACAAAATTGTATATTGGAGATGATCCTACTTTTAAAGAAACCAGTGAGCTGGTTTCTGAAGAGAAGCAGCTCATGACTTCTCAGAATTCCTGGCACCATGAAACCTAAGCTTGCTCATTTCTCCATAGCCTTTGCTCTTCTTAGAACTCTGCCATTTCTTTGTTTCCTGCCTTTATAGGGAGCTCTGCTAGGATGTGTGTTTCCAAAGAAATTTGCATGGAATACAGCAGGAATTTATTACTCAGTTTCTTCACAGATGTCATTCTCAACCCTGGACAGGGCCAAGTGGGTCAGCACTTCTGGCCTTGTGCAGGGCATCCAGCAGCGCAGGCGAGGTAAAAGGACCTGCTCAGTTTGGTGTGCTCTGAGTGTGCTTTCTTGGATTGCTTTGACTCCATTCTGACAATGCTTTGCTTTAGCCTTAATGTACCTGGCATGAGCAGCCCGGTGGTGAATGTAAAGTGCACTGAGAAAGGGACAATGCTGGTGCTCTCCCAGCCTAACTCATAGTTAACTAAAGGCTGGGAGGTTTTCCTTTTTTCTTTTGGTCTTTTTCTTTTTCGTATTGTTACTATTTGGCTTGAACCAAGATGTTACTTGGAACTGTTTATTTGTCCTTTTTATTCTGACTTTTTCCATTATAAGCTCAGCACACATTAGCAGCTGCTGGTCTCAGTGAAAAGCATCCTGCTAATGAAACTTACAGTAGCTTAAATTGAAACAAGACTTTGTGAGCTTTGGACATGATCCAGTCTTATAAACACATGAAATGCTTCACCCTTAGAAGAAAAAAAGGAACACTTGGCCACAAGTGACAGACAGCAGATTGTTCTTGTGTTTCTTGGTGCAGTGACTTATCTGCAGTGAGATGATTCAGCATGGTGAAATATCCTTGTGTCAGCCTGAATGCCCTTACCTGACAATGCAGCTCATAACGTGAAGTACAGAGTGCCTGTAGCTCCCGTTGAATTCTTTGACAGCTGCAAGTGCTCATCAGAATGCCCATCCATTGCTTGTTCCAACCCAGTTAGGTTGTTTTGGGTGACAGCCATGTGTGGTCATCCTTTTCCCACAAAACACATCCTTTACACCCTCCCACGAGGAAGAGCATCTATCCATCATTCAATCTTGTGTAAGGCAGAAAAAGCTGCTTTTTTGGTTAGGAATTTGCTTTCTTTCTATCTCTGTAAATCCAAAGGGCCAAATTCACTGCTGTGCATCACTAGTGATCTGTTTAGCCTCATGGGAACCTTTTGCCAGTAGTGAATTTCACTTAGTGGCTGTTGAGATTTCCTCCTGTTGCATTGATCACTTGAGTGATTGTCAGGGGGAAGAACACTTCTCCCACTCAGTGTTAAGCTGCTGAAACATTAACTGTTGGTTGTTTGTTCACCAAGGTTGGGCTAAAACGTCTCATTCTCTTGATGCATCTGAAGAAAATGATGGCTGGTCCAGTGCTGAGGAGCCACTGAATTCATCGGATGCAGAAGAAGAAGGAGGAGGAGGCGGAGGGGGAAATGAGATGAAGCTGGTAACCAGAAACACTTTCCTATTGAGCTAAGCAAACATTACTGTGAAGTGTGACAGTATGTAGGAATGCTTCTGATACTTGTGGGAAGGAAAGTGTCTGCTTTGAAATTGTCAGCTGAACGAAATTCCTGGGGCAATGGGAAATATCCCACTTCTTGAATCAGCCCTGTGTCTTAGGAAGGTGCCTTCATGTACCTGTAGACCAGCAAGACTGTTTATGCCATAGTCAAGCAATGACAGGCTCAGCTACTACATCACTTACATCATGTCACTAATTCTCCAGTTTATTTTTTTACCCCCTCGGGATTTTTTTCTTTTACTTGGTAGAGTTTTTACTTAATTGTTGTAACAATGTTTTTCAGGGTGTGAGAATTCATATGCTGAATTTGCACGTAATTGAACAGCAAAGTCTTGCTGCCCCTCAGAACATACACATTGAAGAAAGTGCACATATATGTGCATGAGAAGGAGAAAGCAGGGAAAAGTGCTCTGATTTTTGTAACGAAAGTTAAAATACGCTTTAAAGTACTCAACAGAAATAATTTGTTTGTCTTTTTCCCTTTGTGCATTTAGACTCCTGGTAAATATACAGTTGTGACTGATTATGAGAAAGGAGTTTCTGAAGAATTTGCAGTGAAAGGTGGAGATCTAGTTCAACTGATTCGTGAAGGGGAGGATGGACTTTGGTATGCAGATCTGTTTGGAACCTTCATACACAGAACTGTGTGTGGAAGGCAGATGCTGAGGGCAAAACTGTTAAAGGCAGCAAATGAAGCAGTTTGACTTCTGTTTTTGTTTTCATAGGTATGTGAAGAATCTGACCACTGGTAGAGAAGGTTGGATCCCAGCAAACAATCTGCTGATGCTCATAGGCAATTCAAAATCAGCTCAATCTTTGAGCAGCTCTGGTAGGCTACTTACTATAAATGGTGTTTAACAAGATTCTTGTTATGGGAGAAAACTGTGAAAAATGACAACCATATTTCTTTTGACTTTTCTCTTCTTTCCCAGAATCAGGCACTGCATCCAGCACTTTGAGCACGTCATCAAGTTGCAGTGATAGCTGCAATGCCAGCAGCACCAGCTTCTCGGACATTAAGGGCTAACATCATATTTTCACCCCACCTCCACGAAAAGTAAATCTGGAGTTTGAGCCCAACGTCCAAAACTCAAGATGGCCATCAGAGAACTACCTGTTCTGAATTGCTGGTTTTCAGTGTTTTCTCTGATGACTTTCATAGATTCTTACAGAAGAAGATCCTGGTGAAAAGTGCATAGAATGTGAAGTTGTAAATAAAAACTAAATGATTTGAAATAGGGTATTGTAGAGGCTTCTCCTCTGAAGTTTGAAGCTGCAGAGGTGTTGGCATAAAACACATTTTCCCACTGATATACAATCAGGTTTCTGCAGAACTTAATCATTTCATAACATCCAGAATCTGAATGTGAGCAAACAGTGTGTTCAGTGCTAAATCCTTGCTGTAAGATGATAATGTAGCAATCACTGTACAGGATAGATATGAGGAGAATAAATCAGAGTTTACAATTTCTCCTCCCCAAAATAGCAGTTCTCCCCAGATGTACTTCAATTAGTGCAGTCAACTCCTACAGCCAGGAAGTAAGCTTGGTGAGCCATTTCTCCTGGGTCCTCAGGATATTCTTCTGCACCTTGGAAATGGATGCAGAAATGACCAATCACTGACCATAACAGCATCAGAAGAGGAAATCATTTTATCGTTTCCAATCTTTTGATAATTCATGCAATGGAATAGCTGTTTTTTAAAATATTTTGGCCTCACAACCCATCTCTTCACCAAGATGTGTGTTTACATAGCCTTGGCAATTTAGTAGTATCTTCTTCCTTACACAGATGCACAATGAAATGCAAATGTTCTTATTCACTAGATCATTTCTTAGTAAATTAATTGCACGGTTACCTTCTGCTCTAACAGTTAGTATGCAATTATAGGCAAAGAAAACTATGATGAGTTCACTATGGGCCAAAAGCACATCTTCAGGGATACCTAAAAGGGTGAGAAACCAGATACTTTTAGTCACTTTTAGTCAATGGTGTTTGTTACAGACTTATTCAAAGAGACAGAAATAACATAATTTTTCATAAAGGGAACATGGGTGGAAAAAAAAATCTTTATTAGTGTCAGATTTGTCCTGTAGACAAATATAAATTTCTTAAAGGAAAGGTAGTGCTAAACTTTCTGTTTTTCAAGGTGTCACATAAGCCAATGTTAGGAATTTTCACCTTGTTTCTTCACCTTTGCACTTTGTCCTTACAAACAGTACAGAACTGTGTGCATGTTCGAAACGTATTTGCTCCCCCATGCCTTTCAAATGTTCCTACTTATGAAAATAAGCTTTTACCAGATTTGTATACCATATTACTTAAAAGTATCGTGGACTTTATGAGCAAAATTTTTCAATGTTAGTTGGAACTACTTTAATTATCAGACCTTCTCTCTGATGGCTGAGCCCAGAAGTCTATTTTTGTGCTGGAAATTCAGATATTAGAGCCTATAGCTTAGGAAACTATAGGAGGAAGATTCTAAGTAATGATATTGATCCTGAGCTGCAAAAGCTACCTTACCCAAACACAATCAAAAAGCAGCTGACTGTGGTCAGTACGAATTGAAACACATGTATGCTCACATCTATGCACATATGTATGTGCATGTATGTGCCTGTGTATGCATGTGTGTGTAGATATGTAAATGTGTAGATATACTGTATCAATGTAAAGGATGTATTTATAGTCTTGCTGCTGAATGTGTCACTTTACAATCCGTACATACTTAAGTTTTTTGCAATACTGCAGTATAAATGCAGATCAGGGTTTTACTTCAGACATCTTTTTCAACACAGACATCCTCTGGTCGTCTTTTAATTATCTCATATGATACTGTGCTGATAAGGAATAGTTAGGCTGATATTTAACAATGAGATGGCAGCATGAAATTCAGCTTGTTTTCATCTTTGTAAGTTATTTTGTAAATTCTGTAACATAATTTACCTATGTATTGCTGTCAGTGCTCAGATAAGACTGTCCTCTCATTTCTCACTGTAGCTCATTCACGTTATTTCGATGGTTTTCTCCACATCATGGCACTTTAATAGAACCCATTTCCTTTTTGTTTTTTTTTAACTGCTGTTGTGATTTAGAGGTTCAAAGTCAGAGGTCTCTATTGTAACTATGAAAATTTGAATAAATGTCAGCACTTCTTGCTGAATGCCTTTATATAGACATGCTCTGTGCTTTATTTTCGTATCATGGTCTAATAGCTGCTTATGGGCATCATACAAAAAAATAGACTGGCACTCACCCCTTGCTGTGTTTTAAGGGAATACTGTACATCCCGTGGCTACTACCCTGTTGTACGCACTCCTCTTGGTCATGTGGCTGTGCTGAAACAGGTTGGAGGCTGGTGTCTGGCCAGCGCTTGAAGCTAGGTGAGAAAGGAGAAACTGAATGTATCCATGCCTCACACAGTGAGGAACGTGCTTGTATGTTCATGGCTTTAAGGATCATCATGCTATGTATGTAGAAGATGGTTTGGGCTGAGGATTACACCATTCAGCTAAGCTCTCACTGGGATTTGGTTGCTTTCGTCTACTTGTCTACTTCTGTTAATGTAAAAGCTGCCTCTATAGGAAGAGACATTTATTTTTAATTCTGTTGACAAATGTTTCCTATCACAAACACTGTGGGCTCAGTCTGGATTCCATATATCTTGGATCACCAGCTCAAAGTTGGAGCACAGACTTTCCTTGCCAGCTTCCAACCACATTTCATAGAGTTAAAGAATCATAGAATGGCTTGGGTTGGAAGGGACCTCAAGGATCAACCTCCAATTCCCCTGCTGCAGGCAGGGCCACCTACTTCCATATCTAATGCGAGCTCTCCTTGTTTTCTTTTGGGGTCACACTTGGGGTGGGGAGGGAGTTATTCCTCCCTATTCTGTGACCCTTTCTAGCAGTTCTTGGCTGGATCAGCTCCCAGAACCAGATCTGTCTCCTCCTGCATGGTGATGACCATGTTTGCTCCTGGGGCTGAGCAGTCTGTTAGGTGAGCACTGTCCATATGCAGAGGAGTGTCCTTGGCTTTTCAAACCAAGAGGCTGAGCTGCCACCTGGGCAAAGGAAACCTGTGAGGAGTTCTCTCAGAGCTCCATGACTCTCAGCCCCATGGGAGCAAGCCAAGGCCCAATGCCCACAAGTCCAAGACTCTACAGCAGGATGAGGTCTATAGTAAGAAGAAATGCTGTGCTAAAACACACATGGTATTTGTATCTATCCTGAGGATTGCTGCAGTCACTGCTGCCTGTACCAGCAGATGGTGGTAGAAAATCAAGGATGGATGTTTGTGTCTATATTCTGAAGGGTTTTAACTGAGGTGAGCCAGTTTGGTGATGAAATAGCTACCCACATTCAGAGCTGATGACAAAAAAAAAAAACCTTTAAACTTTTATCATCGCCCCACCTTCTGTGCCATCCTTGTGAGCAGAACATTGCACACTGGCATAGAACTCAGGCAGATGGGCATGTGATTCTCTTCTGGAAAGAAATTCCTCCTTTACACTCTAAAAAGGGAATGATTTGCTTTAAACCTTAATGGCAGAATATTCGTAAGTTCATAGGTCAATGCAACAGAAACAAGATTTAGTAACTCAAGTAATCTCAGCATATTTCTGAAATAGAATTGAATTGAGTTTTTATATTTAAATTATGTCTGAGTGCTGACAGGGAAAATATCAATCTGAGGCAAATCAAGGAGAAAGAATGGCACTTTGAGTCCCCCGTTCATCAAGTCTTGCAGATCCACATCCAGATGCCTTAAATCATATTTTCTGAACAGCTGTTCCCAGCCTGATTCTAGTAGTACTCACAGGCAGCAGGACTGCTTGCTTTAATGCGTGCTTGCTTTTAATTGGATGATAGATCTTTTTTTTGGAAACGCTCAGAAACTGCAAGCCAAAGCTGAAGCCTCTGCTGGTGAGATTTATTGAGTGGGACACCAGGGTGATTCTCATGGACTACAGTAAAACCACACATGAAATCAGCCACAGAGTGAATGTGAGGGATCTGCTGAGCTGTGGGAAGAGGCCTGTGTGAAACCAGTGAAGGCTGTAACAAAGACCTGAAGTCCAGATGACTCCCCAGTGACGCTTGTCACAGGGATAGGCATCCTTGCTACCCCAATGACATCCTGTTGCAGGAATTTTCCTGGAAAAAGGGCTTTCACCATGTGGACCGACTGCTGTTCCCAGCACTTGCGCTTCTCCTTTGGCTCTGCATTAACATTAACATTAACATTTGGCTTTTTGCTGTATTCAAACAATAAAACTGATATCTTCCATGGGCAGCCAACAGCAGAAGAAAGGAGCACTGCTTCAGCCGTAGGGCAGCAGAGAAGCAGACCAGCCAGGTGTGGTGATGCAGCCATGGCGTAGGGCCCAGCCACACAGGCATCATCGAGGTGGTGGCAGGGACCAGACTGTACATTGTGCATAGAGGCACGTGGTGTTCACGTAATGGATGTGGCCTTCCCCAAGGATGCCCCTCAGCACAGCAGGTTTCAGAGCAGGATGCTCGCTGTGTGCACCACCACCAAACAATGGAAACAGGTGTGCAGAGCAGCTGCAGGCCCTGCTCCCAGTGTGAGGAACCCAGCTGAGCCTGGCAGAGAAGCAGCAGAACAGTCCCTTCCCTGCATGCACTGAGTGGAGGGCAGACTGGCAAACAAGCTCTTTACCTTGCTGCTATCTCGAGTCAACATTTACTTAAGCCAGTTGTTAACTCTCTGCTCTGATACCACTAATTGATTTCCACTAAATCTGAGGGTTGCTTGTTTCCCAGGTAGAACGTTACTTGCAGATCAGCCCCTCAAAGTCCTATCGTTGCTCACAAAATGAGCCATGGATTGGCTCTGAGCTTGTACAGCTTGCCAGGCAACCCAGTTAGAGAAAACTGGTGTAAGGATTATTTTGCTGGTTAATTAGTGTCAGAAGTTCAGGGTTTCCAATGGCGACTGGGAAATTGGAAAAGCTGTCTGTCAGCAACTGCTGGTCCTGCGGAGCACTGAGAGGCTGTGCCTGGCTCTCTGCAAGGCGGCCATGGGGCCTGGCCTCTCTAAAGGCTGCGCAAAGGCTATTGCACAGCCTTTGCACAACAGCAGTTCCCCATACGGGCAGGCTGCAGGCTGTGCCTCGCGCTTCGCCCTGATCGTTGCGGTTCCCATGACTCTCCGGCCCCTCCTCTGGCTCCCAGCATTGGAGGCTGAGCCCTTTGGCCCAACAGCCTGCTCTGAAGTGTCAATACGCCGCCAGGACGCCGGCTTGTGGGATCAGCATGGTTTCCAGGCAGTGCGTGGCTTTGCTGCTCTGCTTCCCGCTGCTTGTTCCTCCTTCTCTGGAAGCAGGTATGTTCCACAGGGTATAGCTGCAGTTAGCTCACCGGCAGCAGAACTCTCCGCTGTTGCACATAGAAACCTTGGTCCTGTGAGTTACCCTAAAGCTCTTGCTTGCTCTTGGTGATGGCAGCCATGCCAGCTGAGGGAAACTCCTTCCGTGCTCCTGCATGTCTCTTGCAACCGGGTCAGCTGCCCACAGGGGAGGCACCTGGAGCTGCTGTGATGTCTATTGAGCTGTGGGACTTTGCAAAGCAGAGAACTGATAGCCTGGCACTCAGCTGACAAGAAATGAGAGAGGGGAAGGGTGCTGTGCTTCTGAAGCAGCAAAAGGAAGTGAAGCGGCAGCTGTATGGTAGCTTTGGTGTCCATCTGAAAAACAGCATCTAGATGAATAAAGCAGAACCAGTGCTTCGTGGTTCTCAGGTGTCCACTGACCAGGTCTCTCAAATTGTGGTGAACGGGGCTGGAAGAAATACATTGAAGTCTGAAATGTTCTAGTGTAAATAAGTGGAGGACATAGAAATGGAAGTGGAGGGTGCCACTATCTATGCACGTAGCACATTGCCTGCCCTGTTGGGATCTGTATGTAGGCTGATATGTATGCAATGTATCTGCAGTGTGAAGTTAAGGATAAGCCCTTAAAGAAAACCATATTACATGCACACAGCCTGACTTGATCTCAGCAGAACAACCCAGCTGACATTCCTACGATGGACAAATGTTTATGAATATCCTGTGATAAATGAGGTGCATGCCACACAGTACTTTAACCCTTCAGATGATTTTGAAATACGTTGAAAATGACCACAACTTTGCTCATCACTCAAAAAATGCCCTCCCAGCAGGCAGGAGGCAGCTTCCCTTCTTTGGGAGTCCTGAATAGACATCATCCTGAATCCCACAGCTGGAGGGAAAATAGTTAGAAGCACTGAAATTGTAAGTTGTCACTAAGTTTCAGGATTCTCTGCTGACGTGGAGGGAAAAAAACAATGCAAAATAAAGTAAGTTCTATTTCAGGCTTTACACTGTGTATTAGATGGAGCAAAAGTACATTGCAGAGTTCTTGTTCACTGTCCTGTGATGTGATGTATCCTGGCACTGAGGAGCAGCTCAGCACGGTGACAGTGCCATCAGCATGCTTCTATGAGCTGGGAGCAGATGCAGCCCTAGGAAGTGAGTTCTGGTGATGTTTTCTATTGAACATTTGTCCCCAGTGTTGTCTCAAAGGACAGCAGCACCACACAGGGAGAAGGAGCCCATGGCTGCAGTCTGTGGGACTGGCAGCAGCAGGGAGCCAAGCACAGGCTCCAGCAGGCAATGCAGAGGGCACTGCCCTGCTTTCCTGTGTACCTCAGTGTAGATATTTTAGAGAAGGAAATAGAGAAAGCTATATTAAAGCACTGTTTCTGTAATTGCGGCCAGCAAGGAAATCCCATCTGCAGGTCCAAAGGGTACAAGCAGACTACCCCACGAGTCAGCTTTGGCTCCAGTCCTGTTTAACATCTTCATTAACAATCCAGACAATGGGATATAGTGCACCCTCGTTAAATTTGCAGATAGCACAAAACTGAGAGGAGTTGCTGATTCACCACAGGGTCATGCTGACATTCAGAGGGACCTAAACAGGTTGGAGAGGTGGGTTGATAGGAGTCACATGAAGGAGAAACAGCTGGAAGTCAGCTCTGCAGAAAAGGACCCAGGAGTTCTGAGGGACACCAAGCTGAACATGAGTCAGCAGTGTGCACTGCTCAGCATTGGTGAGGGCACAGCTAGAGTGCTGGGCTCAGTTCTGGGCACATCAGTACAGGAGAGACCTGGATATACTGGAGAGTGTCCAACAGAGGGCCATGAGAATGATTTGGGACTGGAGTGTCTCTCTCATAAGGAGTGGCTCAGACTGCTCAGCCTGGAGAAGAGGTGACATAGGGGATCTGATCAATATCTGTACATAGCCAAAGAGAGGGTACACAGAGGATGCAGCTGGGCTCTTTTAAATGGTGCCCAGTGCCAGGACAAGAGGCCATGAGCACAAACTGTAATGCAGGGGATCCCTCTGCATACCAGGAGCACTTCTGCACTGTGCTAGAGATGGAGCGCTGGCACAGGCTGCACAGAGGCTGTGAGGTCTCCTCCCCTGGAATCTCCAGTAGTCCTGGGCACCCTGCTCAGAGAGTTCTGCTTGAGAGGGGGTGGACCAGAGGGACACAGAAGACCCTGCCAGCCTCAGCCAATCTGTGGTTTTGTGGAAGTGTGAAAGGTTTTGAGATAAAACCATTGAGGAACAGAGCACTGGGGACTTAGATCTGACTGCCTGACCCATCACCAAGTGAGTACAGGACAGTTGAGTGTTCCCATGTATATCAATTAGTACTAGATAAATCTAGATAAACGCTCTTCACCTCCTAGAATCTGAGGAAACTTCATGACACATGTAGAGACCTACTCTATAATGTGTGACGATGCTTTAGGAGTCACTGACATACAACACTGGGATACTATGCCATCTTCTCGTAAGTTCTGGGATCTGTGGGATCCAAGTGCTGTCACTTGACATGTCAGGAAGCACACCAGAGTGAGAAGGTCTGAAGGGCTGTGTGTATTTTCCCAGCTTCTCATAAACAGCAGAAAAGCTTTCAGAGGAAATCCACCTCCCTGCCCTTTCTTTCTGGAGTGCACAGACATACGACCAACTCAACATGCTACTGTTTTACAGTCTTTTTAAAGCAGGAAGAGGCAAACAGCATTTTTCAAAGGCGCAGAAGAGCCAATAGCTTCTTCGAAGAGATAAAGCTGGGGTCACTAGAGCGAGAATGCATGGAAGAAAAGTGTTCATTTGAGGAAGCAAGAGAGATCTACCGTGATGATGAGAGGACAGTAAGTAACACAGGGCTGGGCAGGTGGGCTCTCCACTGTTCAAGGGTGTACTTTGACTCTTCAAATCATGAGGGGAAAAAAAATCACAAGATCACAGAATCAATGGCCAGGGTTGGAAGGGACCTCAAGGATCATGAAGCTCCAACCCCCCTGCCACATGCAGGGCCACCAACCTCCACATTTAATACTAGACCAGGCTGCCCAGGGCCCCATCCAGTCTGGCCTTGAACACCTCCAGGGACGGGGCATCCACAACCTCACTGGCCAAGTGCCATGTTGGGGGGCAGTGGGAAGGTGAATTCTGTCTAAGCTATCTCAGATTGCCCAGAGAGGTAGGTTGCAGAGTCTCCTTCTCTGAAGATATACAAGACCCACCCGGACATTTTCCTTCTCAACCTACTGCAAGGAACATGCTTCAGCAATGGGTTTGGACTAGATGATCTCCAGAGGCCCCTCCCAACCCTTCTGATTCTGGGATTCTATGACCTTCCAGTCCCCCTGTAATCCCAGGGCTGACAATCCCTTCAATCACTGCACTGTGCAGCGTTTGCTTCCGTCCCTCCCACCTCCTATATTCACAGGTTATTAATGGATAACCTATCAGTGTGTATTACAGTGTGCCGTTGTCTGCTGGCATGAAAGTAATGTAGAATGTGGAAAATAACATACAGTATTTTATGGATGTCATGGTGTTCATTGATTATAACAGCAAAAGTGGCACCACTGTGGCTGTCTGCAAGCCATCCTATGCTACAGGGGCCATAGGGCTTCATCTGAGCGACTTCTTTAATTAAATCTCTCACCTTTTTCTTCCAGAAAGAGTTCTGGCACATCTATTCTGGTAGGAGCACTCCATGTTTCCTCACAGCTGCAGTGATGCTTCCACTGCCGCCGTCCCTCACGTGACCCAGGCTGACGCTGCCTGTTTTTGCAGACCCCAACCAATGTGACTCCAGCCCCTGTCAGAATGGAGGGAGCTGCGATGACCAGTTTCAGGATTACGTCTGCCGTTGTCCTCCGGAGTACGAGGGCAAAAGCTGTGAGATAGGTCAGCAATGGTGTGGCTTAACAAAATTAAACTATCATTGCTAACTCAAATGCAAGGCATTGAAATTGACAGGAGCAATCAGTACTGATGGCTTTAACCAGCTGCGCACTGCTCAGCACCAACATAATTCAAATCCTACAATGATTTTGGACCAGCTGAGAGAAAAGGAGGATAGTTTTTCCTATCCAAGAGCTGAAGTTGCTTTGACTTAGAAGCATGATGCAATGAGTGAATGAGAGCTGAGCTACATATGCATCCTAAGCGCGGCTCTTCCTTCTCCCTGGAGTTCCTCCTACAGAGCTTTGCCAAGCAGCAGCAGCTTTTGATGCAGTTGATGTACATAAATCACTGAAACCTGTCTGGCTGCCTTGCTTCCCTGTCGACATTTCAAGCTGTAATTCGATCATGTTAAGCATGAAAACCCACCTGCAGAAATCTTAACACTCTTTCTCTGCCTTTAGCTCTGGATGAGAACCTGAAGTGCATTTATGACAACGGCGGCTGTGAGCAGTACTGTGCTGACCAGCAGTCTGAAAAACGAGTGTGCTTCTGTGCAGAGGGCTATACTTTAGCAAGTGATGGCGTGTCCTGCATTCCCCAAGGTAGGATGCCACGTGCCCCATGCTTAGCTGAGCCAACCCTGCAAGAGAACTTTTCAATGCCTACACCTTAGGAGGTGTGAGGTGTCATGCATAAATGCCAGCTTCTCCTTCTTCTAGGGCAGAGTCTAGAGCGGTAGTTTGGGCTTCTGCTGAAGCACCTGAAAGAAGCAGTATGGAAAGCATGTGCACTGAGCCCACCCTAAAAGCCCTTGTGGGATCTGCTGAGCCTCTACCTGAGGCAGCTGAATTGGGTTTGCAGCCCCCACTGGATGGGGTTCAATGCATGCAGACTGTATTCCAGGACATCTTCTCGAGTATGGCCCTCAACAGTCAGTGGCCCCTTTGGATCACCCACTTCTTGTCCCCAGAAGTGAGAGATGGGGCATTTGACTTCTAATGTCCCAACTTCTGGGGCCAAGCCCTGTCTGCTCTCTGGGCAGCACTCACCACTCATTCCATGGACAAGACCTGGGCAGTGGAGACACAACCCATGGCCGGGTGGGATGAAGAGAGCAGAGCAGCAGTGCCCAGGGATTGAGGTCAGGCTGAGGGGTCTCAGGTGATCAGAGGGGTGTTGCACCTCATAAGCCAGTTTTCTTTTGTTCTAGCTCACACGTGCTGTGAGTGCATGTGATTATTTTGAGGGCAGTGCTGATTTCTCACTGATCTGTAATCCATGAGAATTCATGACTATCAGTTTTACAACCATATTTATTTCAGTGCAGGAGTCAAGAGGGGAAAAAGCCTATTAAAACCAAAGAAAAATCAGAAAATCCATTCTTTTTTTTTCTTTTTTAGTAGGACCTATTTCCTATTTAGCAGGACCGACACACTTGGTGTTGATCTAGGTAATACAGACAGATATTTCTCTCACTCGTCCAACAAGGTAAATGCTAAGTGGGACTCCATTAGCACAAGTTCATTGTTTTCCCAATACCTAAGCTGGCACCTAACTCTGTTGCAGGTGCCTCCTTCAATTACATTATTAGAGGGGAAAAGGAGGCCCCCAGGGCTGTGTTCATAATGGACAGAGCTGCAGGGAGCACGTGCTCAGGGCTAAAGAAGCAGTTCTGAGGGCACAGCCCCCATACATATGCAGCAACGGAGCAATCATGCGGAGAACTGATAATGACAACCCAGCTCTCAACAACAGCAATTCTGTTAAAAAAAAAAAAATACTGGTAATGTGCTTATCCCTTATTAGCAGATTCTGCAATGCCACGTGATGGGGAAGCTGCTTTTTTGAAAAGCTGAGAGCAAAGAATTTGATATGCCCCATAGGCCTTAAAATGCATCTTTGCCTGCATAAAGAGAAGAAGATGCACTTGTTGTTGCTGCCTTCTTGGAGCCAAAATACCAATATTGCTGACTGTGTGCTGCGAGAATGCAAAACTCATGAGGCCTCACCTGCATTACTGCATCCAGGTCTGGGGATTCCAGCACAGGAGGGATGTGGAGCTGTTGGAGCAGGTTCAGAGGAGGCAAAGAGGATGGCCAGTGCGGAGCCCCTCTCCTATAGGGAAAGCCTGAGGGAACTGGGCTTGTTCAGCTGTGAGAAGACCTTACTGAGGCCTTCCAGTACTTAATGGAAGATTATAAACAGAGGGGGACCAACTTTTTACATGGGCAGACAGTGATAGGACAATGGGGAGTGGTTTTAAACAAAAAGAGAGGAAAATTAGATCAGATGGTAGGAAGAAATTCTTCACTCAGAGGGGTGATGAGGTGCTGGCACAGCTGCCCAAAGAAGCTGTGGTGCCTCATCCCTGGAGGCTGCTGCAAAATCAAGGAGATGGATTCAATTCAGAACCATGGCTCCCAAAATGACAAAGTGAGAGCACTTCTCATCACAGTGTTACTGCAGAACAATTGCTGGATGGGAGGGATGTTATGTTCAGTTACAGCACAGCTGGCACCTCCAAATTCCAGCAACAGGTTCTTTGCATCTGTCGTGTGAAGGATGTATACAAAACACCACAGTTTCCTCTGCATGGTAGCTCAGAAGCAGGTTTGGTCCTCAAGACTCTATTGCCAATATTCACATGCATGCTCAGGCTATAGGAGGACCTCTGACTGATAAGTGCAGCTTGGAAGAATTAAAGATGACCTGAACAGAAGCAAAGTTAGAGATATAGCAGAAGACATGGTGATGGTATATGAATAAGTCAATGTGAAACCATATCTGGCTGTTTGCAGACAAAAAGACTACCTGCCTGTTGAGCTGCTTTGGGTGAATTCTGAGAGCCCATGCTCCCACACTATGAACCTGTTTTTCAGCTAACAAAACTCCACTGAAGATGTTTGTAAGAATCAGTCTGAGACAGTTTGCTGTGAATTCAGTGCGATGAAATCACACTTGTCATTCTTTTTTTTTTTTTTTTTTTCAGTGAAATACCCTTGTGGAAAAATACCAGTGCTGGCAAAAAAGAATGCAACTGCTCAGGGGAGAATAGTAGGTGGTGTCACCTGTCCTCCAGGTGAATGTCCATGGCAAGTGAGTCTTCCACAAATATTCATTGTGGTCATTGCTGTTTTTCTTGTGAAGCCATTATCTTATATTCGGTATTTTGAATGTGTTATGTTAAAATGCACTGAAAGTGTAAGGTTTGGGCAAACCATCCATACCCAAACCATCCATACCCAGCAGCTCCACCTGTTTCAATCACGAATCTCAGCCTTGTTCTGAATGCCTCCTTTCCTAGGAGTTGAGTAGTAATATAACCTCCTCTGCCTCCTGATCCCTTCGTTGTTAACCATACTGCTAAGAATTTTACCTAGGGATACACCCTTGGCCATAATACACAGGATCTATGCTAAAGATGGAAAAAATGTTGATGGGAAAACTCCTCCCTCCTAAATTCTCTGCAAAATCAGAATATTATTCTCAAATACACTTGCGTACAATGACAAAGAAGCAGTATAAAACTGGACTCTACTGAGATTCAGGTCAAAATCTTGCTTTCTGTTGGCAGGCTCTCATAATACAGGATCGGAAAGAGAAGTGTGGTGGCAGTCTGCTCTCGCCAGAGTGGGTGGTGACTGCAGCTCATTGCCTGGATTACACTCATTCCAAACAGCTCCGGGTGAGGCTGGGTATGTATCTCCCTTCCCCATGTTATCAAGCTATGGTTGTCTTAATTTCTCCTTCTGACAAACCAGAGCGAAAAACAAAAAGTGTCAGCCTAGAAATCTCCTGCATCCACAAACTCCCAAGGAATCCAGTTTCTGGCCAACATGACCTGCAATCATTAACTTTTCCAGGTGAATACTCAATAAAAGTTGATGAGAAAACTGAGCAAGAAAGCGGAGTGAGCAAGATCATCAGACACGAAGAATACACCAATGGACAAGTCAATCACGACATTGCCCTCCTGAAGCTGGAAACACCGGTGAATCTCACCGATTTCGTGGTGCCAATATGTTTGCCTGAAAAACGGTTTGCGATTTACGAGCTGTCCTCCATTAAGTTCTCAACGGTGAGCGGATGGGGACGGCTATTAGACGGAGGAGCTACTGCTACTTTTCTGATGCGAGTCGATTTGCCGCGTGTAAAGACACAAGAATGTGAAAAGCAGGCTAATTTAAACATCACTGAGAATATGTTCTGTGCAGGAGACCTGACCGGCAAAAAAGACTCCTGCAAAGGAGACAGTGGTGGACCTCATGCTACAAAGTACAAGAACACCTGGTTTCTGACTGGGATTGTCAGCTGGGGAAAGGGTTGTGCTGTTGAAGGCAGCTATGGGGTTTACACAAGGGTATCCAGATACATCGACTGGTTGAAGAAGTACATGGAATGAAGAGCAGTGAACCACAGCATTTCCTTTCCTTCATCCCTCTGTGGCATTTTTGTACTGAAGCGTTCCTCCATTAACTTAGACACGTGGTAAACGTGATATTGTTCACAATTTTCAAAGAGCCTAATGCCTGCCTGAATACACAAAATAACTCTGATATTGTTGTAAACTTCAATGTCTTGGCAAGAGGCCACAGAAAGGCCCTATCAAACCAGACTCAGAGTCCCTCATTCTTCACTCATTTTCTGGTAAAAGAAAAGCTTGGTGCTGAGAAACACTGTCAGTAATGTGTCGAGTACACCGCGATCCTTCCTTGTGCTGCCATCGTGGCTGCTGGTAATCAATGATGCACAGACTTCCTGAGCAAGAAGTCACATGAGTCTGAATGGTCATGAATGACCCCATCTGCCATACACATGTGCAATCTCTTTCAAACACATTTACACTTTAGGCTTTCACAACTTCCTGTGCTGATAGGTCCTGCAATACAATGAAGCAACAGCAGGAGAAAGAGAAATGGTGTTTCTTTCTTATGGTGAAGGAACTTTCTCTTGGAGTCCCAGCAGGTGGATTCGAGAGGGAGGAATTGCAGAGCATCCTCAGGACAAGGAAGCTGGGAAAAGATTAATTCCACATTTACGAGTCTGCTATGAAAACTTGATTTTAGTCTTCCTCCACTAAATATTATTGCAGTAAGGCTATTAACAATACATTTATGAGTGATGAAGGATACCACACAGCTAATCCCATATTTGTCTTTCTGTAAAAGTTGGATTCTTTCAAATTATGCTGAATATCAGATTAATCACAAAGACTTATCAGCAAGTAGGACACTTACTGTGGTCTAGTAGCAGGGGAGAACACTGGCATTATATGGTACATGTAATACCAAACATCCAAAATCTGTGTTACTAACAGAGGAATGGAGGGTTACTCTTTTAAGAACTGAGATGAGAAAAGCTGCAAATTCCAGAGACCTGGGGAACAAGGTCTTATGGTATGAAAGCATGCCTTGGAGGTTTTGGTTATGCCTGAAGAAATTAACAAGACATAACAAGACGCACTGTGAGTGAGAGAAAATAAAAAAGGAAAGCATTTATGCCAGCAGAAGCAGCATGCAAAACAAATAATATTTTTAAAAAATGAGGAAAATTCCCAGGGAGAAAGGTGACTGGGGGCAGCAGCCAGCAAATGAAGTCTCATTTTCACCAAGATGAGGCACCTGGCATTGCGACATCATCCTCCTAGGCCCCTCAAACTGAATAGCTGTTGATTTTACAGGCTCCACTGGGTGACTTCTCTACTGTAAATATTGATAGTTATGAACAAGTCACCCTGCAGAAAAAGGGCAAAATGCAGACAAAACATCCAACCAGTATTAATGGCTGTGTGGCATGACTTTCGCACAACAAAGCCAAGAGCTATACATATTTTTAACATAAAAGCCTGTGTAAGCAATCACAGAATCATAGAATCATTAAGGTTGGAAGGACCTCTAAGATCATCTAGTACAACCCCAGCCCATCTCCACCATGCCCACTAACCATGTCCCTCAGTGCTACCTGCACACAGTTCTTTAACACCTCCAGTGACAACTTCACCCCCTCCCTGGGCAGCCTGTGCCAGTCCATCACTGTTCTTTCTGAAAAGAAGTTTTTCCTAACATCCAACAGGAACCTCCCCTGGTGCAACTTGTGGCCATTCCATCTAGTCCTATTGCTGTTACTTGGGAGTAGGGGCCAACCCCTCCCTCACTTCAACCTTCCTTCAGGTAGTTTCAGAGAGCAATAAGGTCTTCTCTGAGCCTCCTCTTCTTCAGACTGAACAACCCCAGTTCTCTCAGCTGCTCCCTAGAAAACTTGTGCTACAGTCTCTTCACAGCTTCATTGCCCTTCTCTGAACATGTTCCACGGCCTCAATGTCTTTCTTGTAGTGAGAGGCCCAAAACTCAAGGTGAGACCTCACAGGGTACAGAGAAACAATCGCTTCCCTGCTCCTGCTGGCAACACTAATTCTGGTACAAGCCAGGATGCTACTGATCTTCTTGACCACCTTGGCAAACTGCTGGCTCATGTTTATCCAGCTGTCAACCAACACCTCTAAGTCCTTTTCCTCCACACAGCTTTCCAGCCACTCTGTCCCAAGCCTGTAGCAATACCTGAGGTTGCTGTAACCCAAGTGCAGCACTGGGTCTTGTTAAAGCTCATACAACCGATGGGAGGCACACTGTGACAGCAAGGAGACCTCACTGGGCACAGCACTGGGAAACCCCCAAAAAACAGGGAGACAGAGGCCATTTTTGGGGACCATCTCCATGGGTGAGGGATCGCTGTGCCACCACAGGCCATGGGGCCACAGGGTGGCAAAGCCAATGGAGCCAGCATTGAGCAGCATTGTGTGAACACGGACTGCGGCGGCGGCAGGGAGTGGGGCTGCCATGGGGCACCCCTCAGCATCACGCCAAGCCCCACACCTGCCAGCACCATGTTGGGTGAGGTCAGCCTCGGCCAGCACTTGCTCAATAAGCTGACGATTCGTTCCCAACCTCTTCCTTTAAAAAGAAAAAAAAAAAAAAAAAAAAAGAGAGGAGACTCATAATCGGGCCACCCCCCGGCTGAGAAATCCCACAGAGGCTTTCCCCCTTCCAGGGCGCTTCCGCTATTTCTGGGCAGGGTGAAGCAACGCCGCCGCAGTCCCTGCCCGCCCGGTGAAGGCTCCGTCCTGTCCCGTCGCGGTGCCCATCCCGCGCCACTATGGCCGGCCGTCTGCTGCTCCTGCTGCTCTGCGCGGCTCTGCCGGACGAGCTCCGGGCTGAAGGAGGCGGTAAGGAGCGGCTCTGGGGGGCGTCCGGGCCGACGTGGGGGTACCTTCCTCACAGCTTTTTGGGAGCTGCTGTTGAAGCGCCCGCGTTGAGAAGTGCCTCCCGCACGCGGGCGGTGCGTGAGGAGCGGGGGCTGCGACCTCCGGGAGCGGGCAGACCGGGCTGTCACCCCCAAGAAGGGGCAACCTGAGTCCTGCTGGAGGGCAAAGCAGCGCCTCGGGGCGGGGAGCGGCAGGGGGGCAACTGGGGTGCTGCAAGATGGCCGCTGGGATGTAGCCCCTGGGGGTCTTTCCTGTAGGACGGGGCTGTCGTCGCTGGGAGCACGGCTGCCTTCCGAGCGCGGCGAGCTCTCGTTCTTGGGCTCTGCCGGCTGCCCCTGGCCGCGGGCTGGAGCTTAGGGGTGAGCGCGTCCTGCCTCTGTTTGTGCTGCGAGGGTCAACATCAAAGATCAGAGCAGAAAGCCACACCGGGTGGCTTTTCTAAAGGCTTTGACTCTTCCTTCAGTGAGTCAGCCTGCTTAGGTTTTACAGTAAGGTCCTTCCACAGCCAGCTCCTGGAGTGTCCTACTTGAGCTGCCCAACACCCAGCGCTCCTTCGTGTTTTCGAAGAAGGCAGGATGGCAGGAAGCTCGAGTCTGAGAACTCTTATCAGCTAGTTCAAGTTTATGAAAACATCCTCACACAGCAGTGATGTGGAGGCAAAGGAGTACAGTGACCCCACCGGCTGCATCCTTTCACTGTCCTGCACTGCAGAGAGGGACTTAAGGACTAATGAGGCAGTGGGTGAATGAACTGACTGTTGCTGAACTAGAAGTTACAAGCATTGCTGTAACCCTCCTGCACATAGACTTCTCAGAGCGAGTGGAACACCACGGTACACATAGGCTCTGTGCTGCTGCTCAGCAAAATTTGGCTCCGTTATCAAAAAGTATGAGTACTGATCAGATAATTCACATATTGCTGCATTGAGCTGTGTGAGGTCACTGAGCCCATCGGCTTTCAAGTCCCATCTGCAGCACTGCCTTCCACACTGTGATTGGAAAGTACTTTTTCGTCTGTAGGTTTTGGAATCCACAAGCTTTCCTAAAACATACTTTTTACAAGGTAATTGGCAATCTACTTACTACAGTGTTGCTTCTGTCGTTCCCGTCAGTTAGTATGAGCACAAGTTACTGCAGAGTATCACAATGGCTCGTGCAGCCAAGTGGCTGAGCTGAGTTTAACGCCTCTGATCCTTCCATTAAATCATCAGCTACCTGCATCTTGAACTTCAAGGCAGCAGATCTTGTGCTCTGTGACATCGAGCTTTTAAAAAACAAAACGACTCAGCAGCTTGAACTCAAGCTGTACTTTCTTTAGGTGCTGAAGGTGACATTCATTTGCATCTGCTATTTATTAAATCCTTGAATACAGCTGCCTTGGCTGTATTTGCAACTTAGAAGTAAGACAGTAACACTATGAAAGACAGTTGTTAAGTGGGAAGAAAGACCCAAGGGCAGTACACTGGGGTTTGGGGTAGTGCAGGGCAGAAGATCTCACACATGTGCTGTTTCTTTTCTGAAAGTGGGACTATAAAACAGCTGTTCCCATCTGCCAATAGAACCCCATGCTGGCAAATTACTGCATCTTCTGTTTGTGTGGTCTTTGTTTTCTGGACTATATGTCTCCAGAGCAGCCAGTGGTGTTGCCTGGTTGCCAGCTTTAAAACCAAATCAGGGACTGCAGCCTTCCCTACCATCACTGTGGCAGGGCAAGTCATTCTGTTCAAAGCTGGAGTCTAGAGCAGGAGCAGCAGAAATATAAACAGCAACCTGCACATTTTATTCTCAATGCTAACAACAGAGAACAGAATTTTGCATGTCTCTGGCTTGTCTTGGAGTTACTGATCTCCCAGAGATCCTGAGATCCCATCTGCTTGAGGGCTGACATTACAAGTGATGTTGTCTATGGGTAGTGTGGTGAGAATGTCTGATTTGTTTTTCTTTCTTCATTTGTTTCTGATGACTTGTTACCACCACCAAATGTTACCCTGTAGTTGTTCCATTTTTCTCTATTGTCTAGTGTTCATCAAGAAAGAAAGTGCCGACAAGTTCTTGGAAAGAACAAAACGTGCCAACACTTTTTTAGAAGAAATGAAGCAAGGCAATATTGAAAGAGAATGCAATGAGGAGCGCTGCTCAAAAGAAGAGGCAAGAGAAGCCTTTGAAGACGATGAGAAAACTGTAAGGATGAACTAATATGAAACATAGGCCTACATATTTCATGTTTACAAAATAGTATTCATGTATTATAAGCCAAGACTTACTAGTGTTATTGTTGATCACTTACCACAAAGAATAAATGGTGATTTTGATTATGGCTAGAATTGCTAAGGCATACATGTACAAAAACAGACATGATTTATCTCTTGCAAGGTCACCCCACGTTAAAGACTCCATTCTTTTACCTGTTCTGATCTGCTTAATTGCCATCATGAGGTATTTGACCTTTAAATAATTTGGTACTCCCTATGTTAAAGCTATTTTCTCTTGTGGTGTAGCTGAGCAGCATGACTATATTCAAGAGTTCTTAGATGGAGAGCCCATGGAAGGTTGAGATGGCAAATACTGACATGGAACTTCGTGTGAATACTTTTTCATATTTATCCCAAGAAGTTTTACAGGGCTTATATCATTTTGTGGCTTCTTTCCCACATTTGAGTTGATAGAACATGTAATGAGGACAGTTCTTTATGTTAAATTGCCCACATGGAATGAAGTCTGTGTGTGTGACTTTTGTGTCACCTTCCCTACCTGGCGAGTGCTTAACTTTAGCTAGAAGTGCAGTCAGTGCCCAAGCTAAAGGGGGACCTACAAAGATGGGGAAAGTGTGGGAACAAGGGTCAGTAGTAATAGATGAAAATGTAAGTGACTTGGTGGTGGCGGGAAACTGGGAACATTGGCTGTATGTGGAACAGCCCTGAAACTGGAATCAAGGCCAGATTCATTTAACTGTAGTATTATTTGCGGGCCAGAATGTTTTTAGAGTGGCCCTGAGGTGAACTGGGTGGGGAGTCATGGGTGCATCGCCAGGGCACTTCAAAGCGTAAGGGTTGAACCATAGCAGAACCAGCACAGCCTGTTCTACCTGGTGACCAGAGCTAGCTGGAAGGGACCGTCTTGGACAGACAGCGTACCCAGGGTCCTCTGTGAGAGGGACAGAAGAACACAAGTCAGACAAAATATTTTTAAACCTCAGGATTTCTGAGGTCCTGCTCCATCGGGGTACAGGGGAAGGAAGCTGAAAATTTGACATTGCAGGAGGGTAAGGAAGTTCAATCAAAACCAAGGGCAAGAGACAGTTATGCAAGAAATGAAGAGCCTTATGCTGAGTGAGTGATATTAAGAAATATCTACGGAGGTTTAGGTATTTTTGAAAAGTGTGTGAGACCTGTTTCTCTTGAGCTGGGCAGTATAGATGATTTTAACCAGATGGTTTAAATTAATTAAACGACAATATCAGACTGCAAGCCACTATTTGCCTGTAAATTAATTTTTTGTTTGAGCAATTGTTAGCTGCAGGTATCCTCTGTATGAAAGCTCTGATATTTTTCTGAAGAACTGAATTCAGTAATTCTCATTTAACTCTTTTTGTTTTCTTTTGTTTTCCTGTGCTCCAAACCAACCCGTAGGA